GGTTTTTGACTTTAAAAATGATAAAGTTTCTGAGGTTTTTGATTTTGTCAATAGCGTTGGAGTTGGCAATGTTTTGGATGATTGTAAAGCTTTGCTTTGAGAATTAGTCTTTGTTGTTGTTGTTGAAGTTGATGTCGTTGTATTTGTTGATGCAATTGATGTTGTAACGATTTTTATACATTTGCCAGCATTGTTTCCATCTTTTGTGCTGTTATTTGCATTAGAAACATCATTTGTTATTGTAATTTTTGTTAGGTTACTGTCCCATGTATGTATTGCTTCGTCGTTCGTGCTGTTGTCGTCTTTGTGGTTGTTGTTGTTGTCATTGCTATTATATATAGTCTTTTCGTCGGTCTGGTTAATATTTCTGATGACATTGAAACTGTCAGAATGCATTATAATGCTCATTGCTTTGTTATCACCGATATTGCGGGGTATTGCATTATTTGCATTGTTATTAAGAGATTTCTCCAGCGATCTCACTGTGCCGGTTGAGATTTCTGTAATTGAAACGTTGTTATTGATGCTGTTGATGTTGCTAGCATTGTTGTTGTTGTTGTTGTTGATGTCGTCGTTGTTGTTGATGATGTTTTTATTGTTATGGTTGCTGCTGCTGATGTTTTCATTACTGTTAATGCTTGTGTTGGCAATATTTTTGCTGTTTAAATTGCTAAGTTGGTTAAAATTGGCTTGTTTATTAAATAGAAAGCTGTTATTTGTATGCTGGAAGTTTAGGATGTTTTTATTGCTGATATTATTAAAATTGTTGAGTAAAATGTTGTTGTTGTTGCTGCTGCTGCTGATGTAGTTGTTGCATAGTTCAAGCGTTGGATTGTTGTTGTTTACTTTAGATATACAAGTTTCAACCAAAGTTGTTATGACGTCACCGTCTTCGTCATCAGTTGACAACAAAATCGGAATGATCAATTTGTTGTTGTTGTTGTTTATCTCGCTATTGTTAATGATGTTGTTAATGTTGTCATTGTTGAACTTGATGGCAGTGTTGAATATGTTGTAATTGTTTATGTTGAAGTTATTGTCATAATTGTAGTTGATGTTGCTGCTGTTGATGTGGTTGTAGTTGCTGTAGTTGTTGTAGTTGCTGTAGTTGTTGTAGTTGCTGCTGTTGCAGTTGCTGTTTGGATTGTTGATATAGTTGATGTTGTTTATATGGCTTCCATCGTTTTTATTGCACTTATTATAATTAACAGCATTAGGATAATCAAATGAATCGCTTGTCGATCTGTTGCTAATTTTTCCATGCGTTAGTGCAAGGTCTTGTTTGTTACTACGGCGGCTGCAGTTGATGTTAATGTTGTTAATGTTGTTGATGTTGTTGTTGATGTTGTTGATGTTGTTGTTGATGTTGTTGTTGTTGTTATTTGTGTTAATGTCATTATCAGCATTTTGATTAATGTTAATTCTATGTTCAATGCAACCATTCTGGAGGCGGTAGTTGTTATGACGTCTGCTGCTGTCGCCAGCGTCCACCTCGCTTTCTTCGTCAACATCTTCCTCACAATCATCCTTCTCACTCAAGATAGTTTCGTCCTCAATCAACTTTCTATGGCAGGCATGTTGGTCTCTCCTAACCAGAAAGTTGCTCATGGTGGAGTAACCAAGTAGAGCCAACCCTCCCCTCCCGGCTGAACACATCCCATTCATGAGGCCGGCACCTCTCAATCCGCACGCTCCCATTCCGTTGTTCACCATTTCGTCGTTAGGTTCATCTTCTCCTTGATCGAAAGACGCCAGTGGAACGTCGCAGAGCTTGAGCAGAGGCCTGACGAACGTGTTGTTTATTTTCTGTCTGGTTGTGTGATGTGGCTGGTTCGGGTTGACGCACTGATGGTGGTGGTGCGCGCTGTTCAGTTTCATCATGTTGTTCTGGTGGTGAATGTTGCTCAACTTCACCAGACTGCTCTGACATCTGTGGAGGTGATCGAGTTTTTTCTGGCGGGCCTGAGTCGCGTGGTGGTGATGCAGTTAGTTGCAAATGGTTTCAGTAAAATAATAATGAATAAACACTTTAAAGACGAATTCAATTGAATGAAAATTTTCGAAATCTTATTAAAAATTTATCGATGATAAATTTAATCCATTATGAGCGTGGAGCATAATGTTGAAGTTCATTGAGTCCCATCCATCACGACCAGACCAGCAGCATCACCATATAATCTTCATCCTCTTCACTCATATTTATTCATAGCCTTGCATAACAATGACCATCAAAGTTTAATTTCAATAAACAAACAAACAAACATTAATCATCGTAAAATCATCAACAAAACAACAGCAATAAACAACAACAACAACAGCAATAAACCATCACAACGACAACACCAGCGTGCCAACTCACAAAATAAATTGAGAATATTTTCTAGAGACAATAGTGGATTGTTGTTTTTATTCAATATATCATTCATCGAGCACATGTTCGCCAAACAATAACATCGTTCGCGTGTCTGGTAGAAATGCAAAAAGTTGAACAACTTTTAAAATTTTGAGTCTATTCAGTACAAAAAATTATTGTTACAGACACTAATGCTGGTGTATGCATGGAGTGAACAATAACATTTGTATTTTTTGCTTAAGCTTAGAGCACTTGAAATCATTCGTCCACTCAAACGCTGGCTTCCTTTGTGTGATACGTACGATGCCAAGTAACCACATGCAACATCAGCTTCGTTTGTTTTTGCACGAGTTATTCACCGCTTATTTCCAGGTGTTTTTAATTTATTCTTTTCTTCGTGTTCCTCCGAACGATCCGAACATGTTTTTCATGAAATAATTATTTGTTTTAGTCGTGTTTATTCCAGAGCTTTCAAGTTAACAACTAAGGACTTAAAGTGAAACACGCTTATATGTTAATTTAAATGCCCAAACAAAGTTGTTTTATTTTTGTAAACCTTGAAATAAAATTACAAATAAAACTATGAGATCTTGTTCCTGACAACATTTTGCATCTGTTAATGCATATTAACTTAATTTTTGCTTTCTGACTCCAATGATGACAAAATGACATTGAGGAACATGGGATTGGCAACTTTGATTTTCCAGATTTTACTGCCAGAGTTTTAGTATCGCACTGGTTCCCATTATGTTGATGATGAATTTGATGATGACGTTGACGATGTGGTTTATTATCAATTATGATGATGATGAAGATACAAATATCGCAAATTACAGCTTATCGTATGCACAAAAGTACATTGAGATGTACAGCGTGAACGGAATATAATTCATCCATTGTTGTGCAGACCATTAGAGGCCCTAGAATTGGGAAGAAAAAATCGTCTAAAAGAAAATTCATGTTCTGCTTTGTTTCGTCTTACTCAGCTTTTAATGTATGTTGTTGTGTGGTTGTGTGTAGTTGTTGCGTGGTTGTATGTAGTTGTCTGAAATTGTACGCAGTTGTATTGTGCTGAATTTTTGAGTTTTGCTTTTTTAAAGTATTAGGTTTTAGTTTGATTCTGATTTGCCGCTGGTATGGTTCTTTTTACTTCCAGCATGTTGATGTCACGTTGTACGATGTCCCTGGCTGCTGTCTCGTCATGATCATTCCGCATTCAGGCCAAAATTTAAAAAAATTACGACCTCAATGTAGTGTAGCAAAACAAAAGTAAGAAGATAGTAATAATAATAATAAAAATAATAATATGAAACAATAATAATAATATTATTTAGATAGTTTCGCATAATAATAATGATAGGCATTATATGAGATTCAACCAATGTATGCCCCCTCAATTAAATTTTTAAATTTAAAGGATGCTATTGTTGTGCGACACACACACACACACATTCACAGACACACACACACACGCACGCACACACGCGCTCGCACACGCATACATAGTAGCAACATATGATTAAATATTATTGAGGTCATTTCAAGTTTGAAGTTCAAGGGTCAGAGTCGTTAATAATTATTGGAGCGAGAATTTGTGAGCTGTTCGCGAGAGGTGAAAATTATATGCGTGGTCACGTGCTACATTGAATGATGATGACGATGGCAAATATAAATATGAAGACTGATGAAATGATGATAACGATTATATTGATGACAAAAAATAAGAATGAAGAACAATGATGAAAGTGATTAAAATGATGATGATGGAGATGGACATTGTCGACTAATGAGTGAGTGAGTGAGTGAGTGAGTGAGTGAGTGAGTGAGTGAGTGAGTGAGTGAGTGAGTGAGTGAGTGAGTGAGTGAGTGAGTTAGAGAGTTAGTGGTTTATTGCCGTCATATTCAAACGTATCGGCAGTAAAACTAAATGAAGAAAACGCTAAAATTTATTGACCTGACAGCCCATACTCGTTAATTTAACGTTTCTCACTTTGACTACTGCTACTGGACTGATTTATTCAAACGTTAAATCTATTATTATCTACGTGTGCGTGTGTTTATGTCTGTGCATGTACGTGCGTTCATTTTTAATCATAAAAATAATAAACTTACGGTTTGCTTGTTAGTTTGTTAGTTTGTTTGTTTGTTTGTTTTTTTTTAGTTTGTTTGTTTGCTTGTTAGTTGTTTGTTTGTTCGTATGTCGGTAAAAGCTACATCGATTGACATTTTTGTAACCTATGTTACGTTTTGCCTTAAAAATTCATGAAACGCTAAGCAATGGACAAGAAATAAACTCAAACAAAAAATAAATAGAAGCAGAGTTCTCTGCAATTCTGAAGCTGCTGGTAAGGTTGAAGCAAGAGAACACTTAACTAAAAATTCACAATGGACATTTTTTTAATTCAGCGTGCTGGATTTAAATGTTAATAATGAAAAAAAGTCGATAAATAATGATATTTGACAAAATTTTACCATATACTTTTACAAAATTGTGTTGCACATAGACAACAACACGCACAAACAAACACCCAAAGGATAAGCTCGTTAGAAATTCACGATGACTTTTAACTTACAGCATCAACTAATGTTGCTAATTTGTTAACATTCATCATTATTCATGACGGATAGCATTATATATTTGCGTAAAATCATTCACAGTGCACTCGTCTGAACTTATTTGCATCTGCACTTGTATTTATTTTGTACTTATTTGCGTTAGTGTATTTGTTGTAATTGTCAATCCTTGATGTTTCTTCACTATGTATCAGCACTTCCATCTGATTTAATCTGTTTATGTTTTTGTTTTTTCAAATTTCTACTTGGTTGAAATTTTTGAGAATTTTTGGGTTGGTCCGCGTTCGCACTACTCGAAGAATATTGAAAATGAATATCGAGATCGGTTCTTTGTTATTTGTCTTCCAATCATCCTTCAGGTGATGCTACAACTTTTCCAACCATCCAAGCATTCATTTTGAATAGATTTTTACTGTCTGTGTAAACACATTCAATGTTTCGAACTTTCTATCTAAGAGTTTCAGAACCATTTATGTTTCTCAAGGGCATTGATTAACATTTCCGAGCTTCGATTTCCATATGCTCTTATCCTTTCCTTGTATGTTATTTGTGTTCGTAAAACAAATTTTTCATTTCATTCAGCTCACAATTTTATTTAAACCGGGAATAGTTTTATGAAATATATAAATCAGATTTACAAAAGGTTTTGTTAACTTTATTAGACTATTTTTTTAACCTTTTTCTAACTTATGATAGTTTACGTTGATTAATATTCTGAAATAATATATAAGTAAGCCTCTTTTTAATTAACGCGGAGAATTAGTTTGTTATAGGAAGCATTTCTGAATTTTATCTTATCTTGAATGATAACATTTGTTCGTTTTAAAAATTTAATTAGTTTCTTTTTTTCTCTCTTTTTCCAATTTCAAAAATGTTTTTCAATTTCAAGGTTCATCCGTTTTAAAACTCAAGAACTGCCCGTTGTTTTCGAAATTGCTTCCTTCATTTCAATAGCCCATCGTTTGGATTTGCACTTTCGATTTTTTTTCTTTTTAATGTTTTAATTTTAACAACTCTGCTTTTATCTCTTCAGGAATTCAAACTCATATCATTCGTCTCGTTGCGTCAAATGAATAACTTTCGAAAAAACATCAATTTTACGAAATGGCTAAATATTTCGTTTTACATTCATCACAACTTTTTTAAACAATGGAGAAATAATATTGCATTTAAGAATGTATGGATGAATGTGGATGTGTTATTGTATGTGATTCTGTGAGTCTGAATTGAACGGAGGTAACGAGATTAAACTCGAGCACGTCACTCGCGTCAAGCTAGGCGCATTGTATGTTTGTGTTTGTGCGTTTGTAAGTGTATTGGTATGTGTGTTTGTAAGTGAGTTTGTATGTATGTTTGTATGTGTGTATATGCATTGTTGTATGTATGTTTGCATGTGCGTGAAAATGTGTTTGCATGTATGTTTGTATGTTAAGATGAAGAATATAGTAAAAATGTAGATAGTTAAGTTATTAACACCGTTACGTAATTCGGATTAAAATGTGCTTTATTCTGTTGAAAGTACAACCAATTAAACTTTGAAACTTTTAATTAAAAATTAACTTAAGTATAAATTTAATACTTTATAATAATTTTGAAAATATTTTTTATAAAAAACCTTATCCAGTATTGCTTGCAATAAAAGACACAACACAACACACACAGATTAAGACAAGCGGATATTTCAACGGAGCAACAGACAGCGATCAATTGAAGATCTATCGTTCGTTACATGTACGTACATACATGTATTTTTTAAAAATATTGCATGTGAAATTTCGAAAGCAAACACAAATGTTTCATTCTACACGCCTGCACTAGCTATAACAATAGTATCTACACAGTTAATAAATAACAATGTTTCTCCCACTATCCAATGGAGACGAGGTGGAATTGGAATTTCTACTGGAATGTAAACTACATGTACATCAACAAATATATCAAGTGATAAGAAGTATTATTATTAACTGGTTTATAGAAGTTTAAAGGTTGCGTTAAAATACGAACAAAAATTAGTAATAAGAATTTTAAAAACTAATTTTGAAAAAATTAAACTAAATTTGATGGTTGTATGTATGATGGTGACGTGATCTTAAAGTTTATGGTGACAATAATGATGATAGCAAAAGATGATAAGGATGATACGATGACAGTGATGACGATGATGACGACGCTGATGTTTAAGAGAAACTGCAAACTTTTTTGTATGTAAGCACCATGTATGTAATGATAAAAAAACTAATGATTCTTTTCCGAAAAATCAACAGTTCAATAATATCTACGTTACCGCTTTTCATCATCATCATTATAATTTCTATCCAACAAACTTTTTATGTTTCATGTCCAACATTACCACACGATCGAGCAAATAAAGAGAGATCACCGTCTGACCTTTCGATTAAAATTGCTACTGCAGCTACGCATTTCTACGATGTAAAAAAAATGTTTCTGCAAATTCTGCGAACCCAAAAAGACGCACACGCATGGACACACACACACACACACATACACACACCACACACACACACTAAAACATACCTACAAATAAATACGTACGACTACACATCACACAAGCACACACACACGAACACACACATACACAAAAGTATAAGTAGAATACAACAGATGCATTCTAAATTTATATTGAACCATCGAACATGACAACACACCTGAGTTACACTTCATGCTCTCATTTCAATGCAATGCAATACCTACCCTCCAATGTTTGCTTTGATATATGTATGTATATTCGTATGTTTGTATATATGTATGAATATTTGTATGTTTGTTTATATATATGTATGTATGTTTGTATATATGTATGTATATTTGTTTGTATATATGTATGTACGCACGTATGTATGTATGTACGTATGTATGTATGTACGTATGTATGTGTGTGCGAAACATTTATGTATTAATATATACAATGTATGCATATAAACATGTTGTTTGTCTATATGAAGCTGTATACATTCAATTTAATAGATGAGTGTATGTGTATATTACCGCATGTATAAAGTATTTTGCGTTTGCGTGCCTGTGTATTTTATGCTTGTATGTGTGATGTGCTATTGCCACGAACGTATAAAAATATCATTATAGTACGAATAATAATGACAAATGTCATAAGTTTTACCTATTTGTGTTTGTGTGTGTCTATGTATGTGTGTGTGTGTGTGTGTGTGTGTCTGTGAATTTGTTTTTCATTCAATTATTTGTTTTTCATTCAATTATAATTAATAAAATTATTTTTTTAAAATATTTTCTACCATCATTTTGAAAGGGCGCTTAAAGTAAAGACTACACGCATTTGTGTAGTGTGCACCTTGCATCAATTAAATAACATTTATATGTATTGTATATATATATATTATAATATCTATATATTATATGATATCGGCGGCGCGGTGGTGTAACGGTAAAGTGCCAGTCACTGCTGTTGTTGTGACCTGATTCGACTGCATGGAGATTCCTGTCTTGTGGGGCGTTTAAATCATTTAAATTACTATTAAAGCCACAGGTGTATTGTGGGTGTACGTTTGAGTTTATTTCAATTCTTGTTCCTGGGGATTTTTATGTGTTTATGTGAGGATGAAACTTGCAAAATAAGAAACCCTATTCGCAAAGCTAAGAGGCGATTAAAATATTTTAAAATAATTTCAAACATTTTTATTTTTTGATGACCCTGGCTTTGAATCAATTGGTTAAGACGTCAAAATAATTTGGTGTTTATTAAAAATAAAAAATTCTACATTGGTTTTATTACAAGAGTGACTAGCGAGACTCTCTTTCGAATGAAACAATAGTTTTGTTGTCATCCTTGAGTTATAAATTCATCATCATCAGCTTTTATGAAATTGTGTGTGTGTTTGGATGTGTGTGTGTTTGGATGTGTGTGTGTGCAGGTGTGAGTGTGGTGTGTGTAATATGAATAGTTAGTTAAATTAGATCCAGGGAATGTTCACCGGCATATCTGTACGTGTATTCTAATTTTTTTTCATTTGTCGACAAACTGGTTTCATGGTTTTCCATGCTAATACCTGTTGTTATATTTATGTTGTTAAGTCATTCAATAATTTTTATTTATAAAATTATTTATATTAGTATTTTTATTATTCTTTCTGTAAAACAATTATTACTATAAAAAAAATATTACTATCGATGTTACTGATACATTTGCAACGTTTTAGAATATTTATAAATAGTTTTTAATTTATTTCTCTCCGTCCTTTTAGGCAAGTGTATGTATTTATAATTTGTGTTTGCTTAAGGATTGTGTTTCAACAAATTTATCATATTTGCTTATCTAAAGTAAATATGTGATTTACAACCTTGGTATGGTGATATAATATTTATTATCTAATACAATGTATATGGTATAATGGCACATGGGTTTATTATTATACCATTATGCTAGATTATTTGTTTCAAATAAAATTCCCTGATTTTTTTGTTTGTCTTAAAGATAAGAAATAAGTAGCGAAATTGGATTGAACCGTTTTTTAAAGGAATTGAGATAGAAGATTTTTAAAATATGGCTATGCCGATGTGATAACGAAGATAAATTAAATATTTTATACTTTAAGAAAATGTATTTTTTTAATTGATGAATTGATATTTTGATATTTAATTGATATTTTCCAATTGCAATTAATATCAGTTGAGGAAGTTGTATTTTTTTGTAGTTTGTTGTTTGCAATCTTTTTCCTAGCGTATTGAAACAAATGAAAACTTACCAACGCTGGATAGTAAAACAGTGCCTAATTATTTTATGGTGTTTCTCTAATAAAAAGAAAATTATTTTATAATTATTTATAACAAAGTTGGAGAACGTAATTTAAGAAATTTGGATCACGCCGCAAAAAAGTTGAATGAATACAAAAGATATAGATTGTAAAAATTCAGTGAGAATGCCTGGAGACGAACGAGAAACATCTTCAAGCACCGATGCCATTGAGTGTTCAATATGCTTGTCTGACATTGAACCACAAGCCAGATCAGTGATCTCGATATGTTTCCATGAGTTTTGCTTCTCGTGCATTGGAAAGTGGTCCAAGGAGAATGCAGTTTGTCCGCTCTGTAAGCAAAACTTCACAGAGATTCTGCACAACATCAGGTCGGATGCTGACTACGATGCTTGCTATATAACAAGACACGTCCTCAAAGCAAAGAGGCGATTAAACAGGTCAAAAATCAACTTTCTTACTTTTGTGATGATGTTATTAAATGTATAATTTGCAATTATTATCTGGAAACAAACGATTGGCATTAATTAATTTTTTATGTTACAATAATCTATTATCAATTTTACGTCAACAATAAAACAATAATGTTTTAAAAATTTCAACAGAAGAGGAGATGGAGCTGCAACTAGTTCGGGTGAGCTACGTGTGAATTATTTACCACCCAACAATTCATTTTCCAACAATTCATCCTTAAACAATTCAACATTCGGCAGCGTTTTCTACAACAGCAGCAACAACGTCCGGTCCACAAACATTAACGATATCGTCTCGAAAGCATCGCACTCGTTTGGCAACTTTGGTAGGAGCCTTGCAAGATTCACGAAAGATATCGTCAACACAGCTTTCAGTAATATTTATAACAACAACCAGCCCACTTCAACCAACAACACCTGCAGTGGCAATTGTATGAAAGTTAACAACAGTAATAATATTTATATTATCAGAAATCGATCCAGTAACTTTAGAATTGACAGCAATTACAATGTCAACAATTCTGTTCAACTCAATGTACAGGGCTTATCGAACATACATGTCAGAACCTCTAGTAATATTAATATTAATAATAATAATAATAATAGTAATAATCATAATTATTAGTAATAACTAATCAACTTCAACAAGCTTCACTTTTACTGGCATAAATAATAATAATAATAATAACAGTAGATCAATGTCAACTAACATCTTTCTTGATGGTAGTGGAGCAGAAATTAGGCTATCGGGTAATTCGAATGTGCAGGTGAGCGTTAATGGACGTAACGTTATTTGCGGTTCTGGAAATATGAATGGGACAACATCCTCGTCAGCATCGGGTCCAACTTTTTCATCCAGTGATTACAACACACGTACAAACAACAGAAGAACTCAGCAGAACTTTGCTAACGCATCTGAAGAAGCAAACTGATACAACTGAAAATATGCTTCAAAATTCGATAGCGCCTTGCAAGAAGTGTTGTACCGACCACAAGAACAGTAGCATCAGCAGATATTTTTATTTTTTATTACAGACAGCTAAATACAACATTTATTATATATAATATATCGTTAAAAAGCAAAGATCAATATAATTAAATTGATGGTATTTTCAAATCTCTTCAAACTTAATAGCAACACATAAAACAAACGATTCAATGTGATAAAAATTAAAAATAACTTGCGTTTTTTTTATATATTGAACGCCCGCGCGTGCACAGCCTCACGCACGCATTGCTGATGATGGTCGATGGTCATTGAGTTTCGGTCAGTATTCGACCCAGACCATCCCGTAACAATCGCGTAAAAACTCAGTAATTCTACCGTCTGAGCTAATTTGCCACGTAAATATTACATTATAATGAAGACGTTCACTGCATCATGTTACGTTCGTTAAAAATTCATAAATTAAGATGAACGTGATTTACGAGGTGGGTTTCATGACATATTTTTTAACCAATCATATTTATGCCATCAGATTAAATGAAAGAACGAATACTTCAAAATTGACATGAAACCCAATGAAAGTTGAACTGCAGAATACCATGTCTAGCGAGAAATGAAATATTTAAAGGTTTATAACAATATAATATTTACGCTTTGTATCTCTATTGAGTATGCCAAAAATTAAAATTCTTATAAAAAGTAACTTTGTTTTATAGATGAAGTTGGTTGGTATCACTGATCATTCCAAACATTGGAAATAAATTGTTGTTTCCTCCATAAATTTACCCCACTCTGAATGAACAGTTGAATGAACGAGCAGCACGCAAACGCTCGTTTAACAAACAAACTGATAGCGAATAATTTTTAATTTGAGTAATTGGTCCACGGAGAAAAATTAAAAATCGTGCAAACCTCCGTGTGATACTAGCTCTGAAAGCATTGCACCACGTTTTCGCACAAATGCAGCACCTTTTGCGTGAGTTAGACATACATTCGCAGGCATACATAGCATAAACATAACCCAGCACAACCTAACCAAACACAACTTAAATTAATACAACATCACAAAGTGCAACTTAACGCGACATAACATTACATGAAAAAACCAAACACAAATTATAGAAATTTTGTCCATTCTAAATTTTTTCGACATTGCCTCTATGTATATATTTTTCAGTTACGCTGTACATAAATATAATTGCACTATTTGGCAACAAGTAATTTGTATCTGAGCAACTTCGAAATAATGCGATAATGCGTTTTCATTAGGAGAGAATCAATGAGTGCTGAGTGGCTGTCTAATTGTTCTTTTGATCAAAGAGTTAGTTTTTAATACGATGATGGCGATGCTAATTAATCATCATTTCATCACATGTTTGGCTTTGTAAATGTAACGTTTGGACAAATACAAATAATCATTACACAAACACAACAACATTAAAAATACGACATGCTTCGTTTCATTTGTTGTATCGTATAAAATCTACAAGGTTAAATCATTTTATGATATCGCAACAATAAACACAGAACCCTTGTATAATTGAATGCAATAAAACTATTCAGATATTTTGAATTGGATAGGAGTGTATGTAAAGAAGTTCAAAAACTCAAAACATACAAATCAACATTGCTGTGCATTGCCTTTAAAACAGTGCATTCAGTGAAAATTTTAATTTAATGAGATGAATATCTGACATTAAACAAGAATGAATCGATCAGAGGGAATAACGTCAAGAAGCTCCATTATTGACCAATGTTCAATATGCTACTACGACATAGCAGAAGAAACGAAATCAGCAACCTCGCTATGCTTTCACGAGTTCTGCTTGTCATGCATTAAGAGGTTGGCGAAGTTGAATGCAGTTTGTCCGATCTGTAGGCTAACCTTCACAGAGATCCTAAACAACATCGGTGCGAATGTCGGCTACGACGCTTATGGTATACCAAGACCCACACTGACAGCAAAGAGGCGATTAGACAGGTACAAGAAAAACTTCAAATATTTTAATTTTTGATTACAATGATTGTGAACTATACAGTTTATATTAATATTTTGATAGAGGCTAAAATTTTAATGTTGACTTGATTTGCTAACAGGAGTGACAATAGTGAAGCTTACTCCCCAGCTACCTTGAACGATTTGTGCAACAACGCGCAAACAGGTGCATTTGATTTCATTTCCAACCCTAGTGTGATATATCAGCCATCATCAGTTCTTACGCCATCAAATCCCAGAGCACAAAACTGCGATACTTACGATACGGTAAGACTCACATTCACTGCAAAAAGAAGACTTAGAAGGTTACAAAAAATTTGTGATTACTTTGGTTTTGAAACATATTTCAGATTTAGAACTTTTTTGTAACAATGTTGTTTTTTGTTTTGCATATTTATTCTAAATGACTGAAAAAACTAATTTGAATACAGCAACAGAAGCGAACATGGTGAAACTTCAGTGAACTCTAATGGGCTGCCAGTGAACAATTCAACATACAACAATCCAACATTCAATAATTCAACATACAATTATTCAACATACAACAATTCAGCTTTCAATGACTCTACATACAACAATCAAACATTTAATAATTCAACATACAACAATTCAGTATTCAATAATACAACATACAACAATCCAGCATTCAATGATTCAACAAACAATAATCAAACATTCAATAATTCAACATACAACAATCCAACATTTAATGATTCAGCATACAACATTTCAACATTTGATAATTCAACATCCAACAATCCAACATTCAATAATTCAACATCTAATAATCAAACATTCAATAATTCAACATACAACAATCCAACATTCAATAATTCAACATACAACAATCAAACAATAAATAATTCAACATACAACAATCAAACATTAAATAATTCAACATACAACAATTCAACATACAACAATCAAACATTAAATAATTCAACATACAACAATCAAACTTTCAATAATTCAACATACAACGATCAAACGTTCAACAATTTAACTGGCAACAATCCAACACACAACAATCCAACATGCGACTTTGAGGAAAACATCCACAACCACAATAATATTTGGCCAGCTGGCATTAACTCTGGTAATAACAAGACCAATTACATGAATAATATAAATACTCAAACTTTCAATAATAATAACAACTGGTCAATGGAAACCAGCACCAATTTCAATGGAAATGAGATAAACGTTCAATGGCCTAGGCAATCATCAGCTTCAATGGCCACAACTAATTTTTCTAACAACAACAACTTCGGTATCAATGAACAAAACTTTACATCATATTCTGGAAACACAAATTCGATTCAACATCTCTATCGTCCAAATAACAAAAGAACTTTTTCTGCTGAGGCTGATGGAGCAGACCGAAACAATAAAATGATGAAAACTGAAAAATGGACCCAAAACTCCAGATTGCCTTACATAGAGTATTTTAGCGAGTTCAACGACAGTTACAATAGAAAAGATTGATTTATTTCCTTATATTAGTTTAGTTTTCTTAACTGACTGTTAATCTAATGTTATACACTATGATTTATACAGACTACTGTTACATGAATATTAAAACGTACATTATTTAGTTTTTTCACAACACATAACAGGTGTTTTAAAAATAAAAACTTAATGGAATATTTTCAAAAAGTTATTACAATTAATGAGATTGAAGATTTTTAGTGAACACACTTAAGCAGAATAAATTATTAAAATAATTATTTTATTTGGGTCAGAAAATTAGCTCAGTCGGTAGAAGTGCCATGTTTCGTGCAGTTACGCGATGGCCTGGTTCAAATACTGTCTGTCCGAAACTCAAAGACTATCAAACGTCATGCGCGTATGATGCGGTGCGTACATAATGTGTGTGTACGTCCTGTGCAGTGGATAGTACAGTCTTTGTGGCACGAAGGTTTAAATACAGGAATGATATGTAAGCCGTTCTGCGTATATCAAAGCCGCATAATAAAGAATAAAAAAATAACAATAACTTTCATCATCGAAAAACAGGTTTTGAAATTAGTGGAAAATTTTAAAAAGCTATCGAAAAATTGTCGGAACTCCAAAAAAATGTTGAAAATTTATAAAAATGTAATTTAGTGCCGATTACCATGAATTTTCTGTATCTTTGTTTGCAATTTCCTTTTTTATAACAACACGTGGCCTCGTTTCAATCCTTAAAAGTTTATTAAGTTGAATTACTTTATGAAAAAATTGTGTTTGTAGAAAACTGTTATTTAAAGATTCATGATGGATATGTCTGCATCAAGCTCTGATACCAACGAATGTTCAATATGCCTGTCTGACATAAAACCACAAACGAAGTCAGTTATATCGAAATGCCTTCACGAGTTTTGCTTCTCATGCATTAGAAAGTGGTCTGAGGGGAATGCAATTTGTCCTCTGTGTTTGCAAAACTTCACAGAGATCCTACACAACATCAGGTCGGATAATGACTACGATACTTACGAAGTAACAAGACCCGCCCTCACAGAGCAAGGAAGGTATAACAGGTTAAACAAAATTTCGTACATTTCCTAGTTCTGACTAGAGGTGAGCGGTGAACCTATTTCGTTTGTTATACCCGATTTTCTACCGAATTCCTATTTATGACAATTTTCCTAAAAGCTCCCATTCCATATTTTTTCAACTCATTCCCACGTTATCCCACCCATTTCCCCTTTTTTCCATTTACCAAATTTTTGAACACAAATAACATATTTTTTTAAAAAGTAAAAATTATGAACAATTATGAACGTATCTTTAGTACCAAACTAAAGAAAAAGTCAAAAGCTTTAAAAAGTATTAAAAAAATGACAATAATAAATTACAATTATAACAAATAAAACAGCTTTATAAAAGCTTATGATACAATGTGAACTTCTAATGAAATGAGTGCGCGCGCGCGAGCGTGTGTGTGTGTGTGGACCACGTGTTTGTTACACGTGCTACAAATATATTTATATATTATGAACTTGTTTATAGCCATGTTGCTTGCAGTTTTGTTTACTCACGCTTGTGTGCATATGTATGTGTGTATGTCTCGATCACATGTGTATAACTTCGTTCCGATACGTCAAATATAATAATATAGATTTTGAGGTCTCGCACAGACAGCAGGCCATTTACTTATATTTTCTAAAATACAAAAGAAATTAAAAATATGTATTGTATGTATGTACAATGTACATATTGTTAAGAAATATCACTGCATTTTCAGCTTTAGCTCAAAATCATTACTGATTGTGTGACTGGGGCGTTAGTGACATCGTCAGTCCGCACTGAAACTGATTAGTTATTATTAGAGGTCTGTGTCAATACCAAAAGAACAAAAGCTATTTTAAATATTCAACAACGTGCAATTGGAATTCTTCCCACTAATAAATTTAGAAACAGAAGAACCATCCATAATGATGACACGTAAAAGTGTCATGTTGCTCAAAGTTGAAGATTGTATTAACTAACTAAATGATCGTTAAGTATTCACATTAAACAAACAATGAATTAACATTGTAGAGAAACAGTATACATGGCATTTGGCCACATACACAACTTATCAATTCGAACACCGAACATGATATAGGAAAACCGAAAAAAGCTTTTTTGATCCATCAAGCTTAAATGTTCTATCATGCTTAAAATAAATAAAAACTTTGGCTTTCAACTCAAGAAACTTGACAATGATTTATGATCTTTGTTAGAGTGATTTCCTATTTCCTAAAACAGCATTTTCGAAAATTAGGTTTTACCCTTTCCCATACTCATCTCTATTTCTGACTTACAATGGTTTTGAAAACTTTAAAATTATAGTAATGATGATTTGATTTTTGAAAAAAAGTGATCATGATAAATTTTTCTTTCCAATGGCCTTAATCTGCTTGCCCAACAGTCCGCAAATGATTGCGTTTAGCTTCATTTCCTCTTCTGAAATGGAAGATGCATCTGATGATGTGTTGCCAGACCCTACGGCTGTCACTCTCCAAAGACAAAACTACGACACACCCGATGCAACAAGACCCGCTTGTGCTGCAAGGAGATTATTTAACAGGTTGAGCTGAAGTTTTGGTGATTACTTTGGTTTTGAAACATACTTTAGATTAATAACTTGTTTTGTAACAATATTGTGTTTATATATCTTATCAACAAAAAAAAAAACAGAAATAATTTTTGAACCTTCTAACAGAAGAGAACGTGGAGAAACTTCAGTAAACTTAGATGGACCGCCAGTGAACTATTCAACATCCAACATTTCAACATTATCCTATAATCCAACTTTGAACGGAAGAACAATCAACAATTCAATGTGCATCAATACAACATTAATTAATCCAACATCCAACAGTTTGACAATCAATAATTCAACATACAACAGTCTAATATCAGATAATTCAGCATCCATCAATTCAACATCCAACAATGCAATAATCAACAATTTAACACACAACAATCAAAGACTTTATATTTCAACATCCAACAATCAAACATTCAATAATCCAACACACAACAATCCAACTTTCAATAATTCACCATTAAACAATCTAACTTTCTATAATTCAACATACAACAATCCAACATTCAACAATTCAACATTCAATAATTTAGCATACAACATTTCAACATTTGATAATTCAACATCCAACAATCCAACATTCAATAATTCAACATCTAACAATCAAACATTCAATAATTTAACATACAACAATTTAACATTTAATAATTCACTACCCAACAATTCAACATACAATAATCCAACATCCATCAATAATTCAACATACAAAAATCCAACATTCAACATTTCAACATCCAACAATCCAACTTGCAATAATTCACCATTGAACAATACAACTTTCGATAATTCAACATACAACAATCCAACATCAAATAATTCAATATACGACAATTCAACATTCAATAATTTAGCATACAACATTTTAACATTAAATAATTCAACATTCAACAATTCAACATCTAACAATCAAACTTTCAATAATTCAATATACAACAATTCAACATTCAATAATTTAGCATACAACATTTTAACATTAAATAATTCAACATTCAACAATCTAACATTCAATAATTCAACATCTAACAATCAAACTTTCAATAATTCCACATACAACAATCCAACATCTAACAATCAAACAATCCATAATTTAACATTCAACAATTCAACATTTAATAATTCACTATCCAACAATTCAACATACAATAATCCAACATCCATCAATCCAATACTTGATAATTCAACAAACAAAAATCCAACATTCAACATTTCAACATACAACAATCCAACATCCAATAATCCAACTTTCAATAATTCACCATTGAACAATCCAACTTTCTATAATTCAACATACAACAATCCAACATCAAATAATTCAATATACAACAATTCAACATTCAATAATTCAGCATACAACATTTTAACATTAAATAATTCAACATCCAACAATCCAACATTTATTAATTCAACATCTAACAATCAAACATTCAATAATTCAACATGTAACAATCAAACACAGGCCAGCAAACCAATCTAGAGATACTTTCTCGAATGCTAAGCAACCAGCTGGCATTAACTCTGGTAATAACAAGACCAATTACACAAATATAAATACCAAAACTTTCAAAAATAATAACAACTGGTCAAGTTGAACCAGCGCCAATTTCAACGAAAATGGGATAAACGTTCAATGGCCTAGGCAATCATCAGCTTCAATGGCCCAAATTAATTTTCCCAACAACAGTAACTTCGATATAAATGGACAAAACTTTACTTCATATTCAGGAAATTCATGCAGGAATCATCGTTTAATAAACAAAAAAAATCTCTGTGTATGCTGATGCAGACGGAAAGACAGAAAGATGAAAGCTGAAAAATGGACCCAAAACTCCAGATCGCCCTACCTGAGGCTTTTTACCGAATTCAACATCAGTAACAACAGAGCGAATTGATTTATTTCATTGTGTGAATCTTTATAATAGTTTAGTCTTCTTAAATTACTTTTAAATCTAATGTTCTATGTTGCGTTTAATTCAAACTACTTTTACATAAATATTATAACGTACTTTATTTGGTTTTTTCATTCTACATTGCAGTGGTTTTAAAAAATAAAAACTTGATGAAACATTTAAAAAAATTTATTACGCCCGATGAAATTAAACATTTTGAGTGAAATTAATTTTGTCACATTACGACCACACTTTACAAAATAAATTACCAAATAAATAATTTTAATTTGCGTGAATAATACCGTTCATCTTGAAATATTTTTTGTGAAATCGGAAAATCTGTTGAAAATCTATAAAAATATAAATTGGTACCGAGATCGATAATGCCGAAGTTCATTTCAAATTTTCGGTACCTCAGTTTGGTAAGATGATGTCAAATAAGCACAATATACTGGAGCAATTGAACGTTACTGTTGAGATACCGATAAATTTGACGTTATGTAAGTCTATAAAATAATACAACTGTTATTTTTCGGAATATTTAAAAACATTTATGGAGTCTAATGAACACTTTATTTATCATTATATTCTCATTTTGGAAAATAAATTTAGGTAGGTGTTGGACCGCATATCCCTATTTTAAGCACGTGGCGATTTGCTATAAATATCTTGAAGAACGAGGCAAATTCCTTTGTTACTCTTTGACCTTTGTCAATTCGCATAGTCGAATACGTCTTTGTTATTTTAATAATATTTCAATAAAACAATTTAAAAACATTTCGCTTGTTGTTTCTTGTATTGAAAGAAATCTCACAACATAGGACAGAAATATCACGGAAGATTTTTAAATCGTACATTTTTGCAGGACTCGGCGAATGTTAAGAATTTGAAAAAGTTGGAGTCGAGTCGGAAAAATTGCAATCAAAGAGTTATTAAAGTAAGGTCAAAAATTTTTTATTCGACTCCGACACCCTGCCTAAATCTTTGTAAACAAAAAAAATGTTAGTTTAAATTTTAAAACCATAGATGTAAAAACTACAGTTATCTGTTTCATTGTTTGCAACTTCCTCTTTTATATAGCAACACATTGCATCGTTTCAATCTTTAGAAGTTAATAAAGTTAAATTACTTTATGATAAAAAGTGTTCAGTGAAAATCCTTATTTGAAGGTTTTTAATCAAAATGTTTACATCACACTCCGATGCCAACTTATGTACAATATGTTTGTCGGTCATAAGACCAAAAGATAGATCTTTAATCTCGATGTGCCTTCATGAGTTTTGCTTCTCATGCATTAAAGAGTGGTCCAAGCAGAATGCAGTTTGTCCGCTCTGTAAGCAAAATTTTAGTGAGATTCTACACAAAATTAGGTCGGATGCTAACTACGATATTTATGAAGTTACAAGACCCACCCATACAGAGCAAAGGTATAACAGGATAAACAAAAATTTTTGTACATTATCTACTTCTGACTTGAAATAGATCTGAAAAATTATTAGAGATTTGATTTTTTAACAGGAGTTTTCGTGATGAAGTTTTCTCATCAACGACCTTGGTCACAAGTGTGTCTAGTTTTACTTTCGTTTCTAGAGTAGAAAGTAGATCTGTTGGTGCTGATGATTTATCGTCAGACCCTACAGCAGTAACTTCCCGAACACATCACAACGACACTCCCGATGCAACAAGACCCGCCCTCACTACAAGAAGATTATTTAACAGGTTGAGCCGAAGATTTTAGGATCGCATTGGTTTTGAAACAAATTTTAGTTTAATAACATTTTTTGACACAATTTTTTTATGTAATTTATCTCAGAAATTAAAATCATTTCTAACATTGCAACAGGAGAGAATATGCAGAAACTTCAATATACTCAAATGAACCGCCGGCTATCTGCACTATAACCTTAATTATTATAATATTAATAATCTATTTTACAATAATGTATAAGCTAATAGAACTTGCAATAAAAATAATTCGTCGACCTGAACCGATGTCATTTTCAATGCTATTAGGGTAAACATTCAATGGCCCTCGGAATCTCCAACCACCTCAGCAAGTTGAATTATCATTTCAACGTTAAATTCTCTTATTTATTTTTTCTGGTTGACCTCCATATACATTTTATGTTGATTTGAACCATTTTTTTGTTTTGATAAACTTAGTATGAAAATATTTGACAGAATGATTGTGGTATACTCGATGTACAGTTGTGACATAGCCATCCTCGTCTACCTGTTCAACTTATTATATTTATTTATTTTATAAAGGAACAGGAAATATGATCGCTATATTATTTATGCATCCACTCAAAACACTAGAATTTATCATTAAATCATTCAGTTAATTTGCGAAACTCTATTTCCGCGATCTTCAACCAGGCTTCTCAGCAAATTTAGTAAACCAGTTAGTTAAACCAAAAAATCAATATAAAGTTGCAAATAATAAACTAACAACACACTAAAGCTTTGCAACCAACAAACGCAACGTAGTTCACAGCAACGGATATTTAAAACTACAGTTTTTCTGTATCTTTGTTTAAAACTTCTTTATTTATATAACAGGACGTTATCCCGTTTCACTTGTAAAAAGTTTATAAAACCTTTGTTTAATCGGTGCAGTAAAACTATCAGTAAATCTTATTGGGAAAAAGTGTGTATATAAGTATAGTGGGAGAGAGTTGGAACAAATATTGTTAAATAAACTTGTTAATTGAAATTCTAGTTCAATTAGAAAATCAGAATGCCTGAATCAGAAAAAAAATCGACATCAAGCTCCGGTATCGACCAGTGTTCAATATGCGTGTCTAACATAGAAGCGAAAGTGAAGTCGGTTTTCTCATGGTTTTGTTTTCATGAGTTTTGCTTCTCGTGCATTAAAGAGTTGTCCAAAAAGGATGCAGTTTGCCCGCTGTGCAATCAAAAGTTCACTGAAATTCTACAGAGCATCCAGTCTAATGCTGAGCCCGATGCTCGCGGTATAACAAGAAACATTCGCAGAGCAAAGAGAAAACTTAACAAGTGAGTACTTTGAATTTATAATATATATTCAATTAATAATTGTTTTGTAACAATATTTTAATGTTTTTTAATTTCCTATCAAAAACTAAAGTATCTATTTTGAATATCCACCCAGGAGTGATCATGGGAAAGCTTCAATGAATTCAAAAGATACTAGCAATGGTTCAAACGTTCAACAGTCTTCCCAATCATCATTTCCAACGGCCACAACTAGTTTCACCAACAACTCCATTATAAGTGGACAGAGCGTTGTGCCATATTTGTCATTATCGTGGGCAACATCTCCATCGAACGATTATGGTTCATGTGCAAACAACAAAATAACTTATTCCAGTTACGTTGATGAAGGAAGCAGAAACTAAAAAAAAGATGAAAACTGAAAATGTGACTCAAAATTCGAGAACGTCTTGCAAGTAACACAGCACTGGACATAAAAACACTGGTCGCAATAAAAATTGATTTACTTTTTATTATTATCGGATTATTTGCATAGCACCTTTTATTACACTAAAGGATTATTTGTTTACATTAATTTTTTGCCTCTCGTGCATTAACGAGTTATCCAAGAAGAATGCAGTTTGCCCCTGTGCAATCAAAATTCATTCAAGTAATAAATTAATTACGCCAACAAATTAAAACGGTCGAATGTAAAAACTGGTTAAAAGTTTAAAAATTTGTGACTGTTCAGTTTTGGTTAAGTTGCGATTTTTGTTGAAAAATGTTGAAGAAAGAAATGTGATTAATTAGTATAATTAATATCGCATCAATAATAAATTCACTCAATTACATTGTTACTAGAGTTGTGCCTGATTTGATTTTTCCTAATCGGATTTTAATAAAGTGAATTGGGTTACAACTTGTGGCTATGACTTTGTTAGCTTGCCTAGACTTGTTTAAGCATACATACACTTGCATAAAACCCTGCTTAAAACATTGTCATATTATATTCCTATAAGTATATTAAATAAACTTTAATGCAAATCGAATTGATACTTCTCAAACACACACACATATATATATATATATATATATATATACAATATTCTATATATAAAAAAGATATGGCCTCTTACCAACATATATATATTTATATATACATGCACATGGAAACCAAACGTTCATCAAAATTTGCCCATTTAAATGAAACCAGGCGGATTGTACCGTACATGCACATATATTAACACATTTTGAAAAAGAAATTTCTCAATGTTAGTTCAATCGTTCAAAGTTTAAAAGTTAAATTACTGTATGATATCCTAACTTTAAATAAAACCGTTGTCTGATGCTTTTTAAATAAAACTATTTAAAAAAATTTATTGTGAAAATCACGGTCGGAAACATTATGTAATATGTCTTTTTTTGAATTCAATTGAAAGATTTTCAGGCAGAATGCCTGGATCAGAAGAAAAAACGACATTAAGCTCCAATGTCGACCAGTGTTCAATATGTATGTCTCATGTTTTTATTTTCATGAAATTTGCTTCTCGTACGTTAGAGAGTTTCCCGTCCGAGAAGGATGCAGTTTGCCCGCTGTGTAATCAAAAGTTCACTAAGATTCTAGAGTGTATCCCATTTGATTTCAAAAACTGAAAAAACTATTTTGAATATATAACCAGGAGAAAGCATGGAAAATCTTTAATAAACTCAGAAGATACTAGAAACGGTTCAACCGTTCAACAGTCCTCCCAATTATCAGCTCCAATGGTCACAACTAGTTTCACACCAACAACCCATTGTAAGTGGACAAAACTTTGCGTCGTGCAAATAGCAAAGGAATTCTGTTGATGCCGACGAAGCAAATAGGAACAAAAAATAGAGGGACAGGAAGAATTGAACTGGGTTCATAATCTGGACACTAGTAACCAAAAAATTGATTTATTCTATTATTTTGAACCCGTATGTTTGTGTTCTTGGTTTAAGCATCCTTGCTTAGTGTTTTATTCAATCTAACATTACATAAATATTTTAATTATATATTATAAATATTATTCACTGTGTTGTGTTACATTAGTATAATTAAAATATGACAAAAGATTCGTGACAACTGTACGCATACATATTTCAGCATTCAAAATAGATAAATCAATTAAATAAGATGAACGGCGAATGGCTCTGTGAGAGGTGCACATATCTCATCTTTTCATACTATACATACATTGCCATAACTTAAATAAATAACATGCTTTGCTTACTATTTTAGTAAATAATGTTATAGAATAGTTTATAACATGCCATATTACAACTATAATTAAACTCATCGTCAATTTCTAAAAATTTAAAAATGAATAATTCGGTCAGACAGATATATAACAATTTTTATGTAGACTGAAAACTACAACATCTAAAAGATCGGTTAAAAACTATGAATACCTGAACTAACAAATTTTCTCTATAACAAATATAAAAACTTTGCAATAAATTGATAAAAATAGAAGACTCGACCGATGTTAGTAGGGGTTTTAAAAATTAAGTAATGTTAAGGTCTGTATCGATAACCTACCAGCACTTCTTATGCAGATGGCCATTTCAGCATGTGTTCACTATCATAATACATTAATAATAATATTAATTTAATATTATTCAATTTTTTAATATTTTTTGATAGATTTGAATTAAAAATTTTATTATTGCGTATGTCGATGAGATACTTTGTATTAACTTGTTCATTACTGTTTAGGTTAATCCAATTATTGTCTATTATATTGTAGTTTAATATAATGTCAAATTAATTTTACCCCATTAAATTTTTTCAAGTTGCAACTTGACCTTGACACGTAATTTACTAGTATTCCTTCTTGTAAGATAAACCACGCATCGAATCATTTGTAAATCGTAAAGTTTATATAAAGTTAATTAACTTTATGATTGTGATATCTTTGTTTAATTTAATACAATAAAACTACTTTGAAAATTTTTACAATGGAGGCGTGTATATAAAATGTTCGAACGCTTAATACATAAAACTGTTGTTTATAGTTCGTTACCGATATAGTAGTGGGGATCTTTCAGTGAAATTTTTGTGAGCTATTTTGTCAAAATGCCTACATCAAATAAAAAATCGTCACCGAACTCTGCTGCCAATCAATGTGCAATATGTCTGTCTAACATAGAACCAAAGAAGAGATCAGTGATCTCGACATGTCTTCATGAGTTTTGCTTCTCGTGCATTAAAAAGTGGTCCAAGGAAAATGCAGTTTGTCCGCTCTGTAAGCAAAATTTTACAGAGATTTTAAGCAACATCAGATCGGATGCTGACTATGATGTTTACAAAATAACAATAACCAACCAAACAGGATATAGAAGGTATAACCGGTCAAAAATTTTGTTTATTTTCTACTAACTATGGTTTTAAACCAAAGAATTCAATTTGATATCTTCATATTTCTTTTGAATTATTTATATAATGAATTCAACTAATGATGACTTGATTTTTCAACAGGAATGATCCCGGTGAAAATTCCTCACCCCTGCCCTTGGCTAGTTTGCGAAATTACCTGCGATCGAATGCGTTTAGTTTTATTTCCTCTTCTAGGGTGGTGGTTGGTGGGGATGAGGTCGATGATTTATCGTCAGATAATATGGTAGAGACTCACCGGACACAACACTACGATACTCCCGATATAACAAGACATTCCCGCACTGCAAGGAGATTATTTAACAGGTTCACATTATTATTATTAACTAACTTTTTTTTTATAATTTGTCTCGAAAATAAAAATAAATATTTTGAACTTTTCAACAGGAGAGAGCATGGAGTAACTTCAAATGAGCATCCAGTTAATAACACAACATTCAACAATTCACTATCAATCAGTCCAGTATCCAACAATTCATTATCTAACAATTCAACATCCACCAATCCAGTATCTAACAGAAAAACTTCTAACAATTCAACATCTAACAATTCAACATCCAACAATTCAACATCCAACAGTTCAACATACAACAGTTCAACATACAACAATTCAACATCCAACAATTCAACATGTAACTTTGCAAGAAGTGTTTACATAAATAATAACGTGTGGCCAACAAACTTATATTTGGATATTTCCTCGCATGCTATGCAATCATCTGGTATTAACTCTGGTAATAACATTACCAATGACATAAACAATGTAGTTAACAAAGTTTTCAATAATAATAATAGTAAAAGCCTATCGATTGGAAACAATTACAATGAAGATGGGATAAACGTTGAAGGGCCCATCCAAACTCCAACGGCCTCAGCTAGTTTTCACATCAACTCCGTTTCAAATAAGCAAAACTATACATCCTGTTCTGGAAATTCAAATTTATCACTATCATCGGCATCTCGATCGAGCGATTACAGCCCACGTGCAAATAGAAAAAGGACTTATTCCAGTTACGCTGATGAAGTTGATGAAAGAGGCAGGATCAATAAAAAGATGAAAACTGAAAATGAGACCCAAAACCCCAGAGCGTCTTGCATGAAGCATTGTGCTGGACACAAAAACAGTCTCAAGAAAAAAAAAATGATTTACTTGCATTGATCGATTTCTTGGTTTTATTATTAAACTGTTTAATTATTTATAGATTATTTAATTATTTTTTATTTAGATTACATACGTAAACTTTATAGCATGAACATTTTCTGTGATGAACAGTAAATAAATGAAGATGAACTTGACAGATGGAATGGTTTCATCACAACTGTACCTACGTTATACAACCCATCACTAACCTCTCAAATATTTTCATATTTATTACATTAAAACCTAAAATGTCACGATTTTTTAATTTTATAGAATATGTTTCAATTTTTAATTTTGAGTAAAAGGAACTAACAATAACTTAAGAATTTTTTAATTTTATTTATACACTGTTTAGTATCTTTGGTTAGTTTTATTAGATTTTTTGTTCTTCGAGAAAATTTGTTTGTAAATTATGTTTTATCGAATAGTTTAAGTATTTATAATTATATTATTGACAATTCCAATATTTTAACATTCTTTTCAATATGTTTGTGACAGATTTGAATTAAAAATTTAATTAATGCCCATTCCGATGAGCTATTTTGAATGATTCGCCACAGTTTAGTTACTAATTGGATGAATGTTATGTTATCACTGAGAAAAATGTCAAACTAATTTCATCTCATAGTCATAAATGTTTTTATGTTGATAATGCTTAGTAACTACTGTAATAAAACCATATAACTTAGTTTTCAACCATTCCTTACGTAAGATAAGCTTTTCACCAATTCCTTCGGTAATCGTAAAAGTTTAAAAAGTTGAATCATTTTTAGATACCACATTAATAAAAACAAAGTCCGTTTAATTTAATACAATAAAACTATTTACAAAAGTGTGTATGTTAGAAATTCGACTCAATTCATCTAGATTCAGTGGATTTTCTAATTCAATTGTGAGATATTTTGTCAAAATGTCTAAATCAAATGAAAATACGAGCTTTGATGTTAATTACTTTGGTGTTAATTACTGACATAGAACCAAAAAAGAGATTAGTAATCTTGTTACTTCTTCGTGAGTTTTGCCACTAAGGCATTAAAAAGTGGTCCTAGGTGAATGCAATTTGTCCGGTCCGTAAGCAAAATTTCTCACAATATCAGATAAGATGATGAACCAAAAAAGTTTAGATTCATAACTTGATACGTCAGAATAATTTTTTGAAATATTAAATACTAAAATTCTAATAATTTTTTTAACATGAATAATCATGAAGAAATAACTTCATCAACGACCTTGGCCATTAAGCTCAAATGAACCGCCTGTAAACAATCTAGGCCTAATAACAATAATATTAATAATATGATGAATGTTCAGCTTTGGAGGTAAGTAGTTTTTAAGTTTATGAGATCAGAAGGACAAGTTTGCAGTTTAGGATATTGCTTTAATGCATATATGAACAAGTAAATAATTTGAAAATTTAAGAAACAACAACAAATATTGAAAAAATTATCTAATTATGTACTCAAATAAACAAATTTTATTTTTTAAAATATACAAATTTTATTAATTAAAATATACAAATTTTATTATTTAAAAATATACAAATTTCATTATTTAAAATAAGTTTACATTGTGGATTAGAAATGATTAAAAATTGAAGTTACAAATGAATGAATGTGCGCGCAAGTTTCATGAATAAATTGAAAGCTAAAAGTTCATGTTTTGTTTTGTATTATTGCAACATAGAAAAGAATTAAAATTTTAATTTTAATATCATTTAGTTACAATCTTAACTATATTGTTATATCCGACCCCTTGAACTTGTGTGGTATGGTTATTTCTCTTTACGTGGATTCTTGATTCCTAAACAGACTTATTTCCGATTTCTTTATTAGAAAGAAAACATGCTGGCAATCATTTGTTTGTATTGCCGTAATCGATCACTAGCTCATTCGATCGTAAAATTCTTCAGAATATAGCACAATTACTGATCGACAAGTAAATCACGGAATACAACTATTCTTCAGTAGTTAGTTTTTCTTGCCCGAATAATTACATTGATCACTCTTTTGCCAAATCTGCTTTTTCTTTTTCTGGTTCTTTTCTCTGGAACTCTCTACCTACTTCTCTGACTACTTCTCCATCACTTGCGAAGTTCATAGCGGATCTCAAGACCCATCTGTTTTCAAAATTCATTGAGGAGCGCTGTTGAACATCGCGGAAATAGCGCTTTATAAGCTAATTGATTGATTGATTGATTGAGTTCTCTAGTCCTGCAGTGTGCTTCCTGTAATCGAAATCTTTCTCTGTCACCAGTGTGTAATCTCTTGAAGATTCCCACTTCTAACAACAGTGTGGTTACGTCTTCGACCTCGTAACCTCCAACACTGATGTTATAGCTTCAGTACTCGCTATTCTCCAACACCGTGTTGCAGCTTCCAAGATATAGTCAAGATTTCGTTTATCAGTATGTTCAAGATTTTCGATAGATGAACACAACAACTTTAAACGCAAACTACATCAAACGTTTATTTTATACCAGCAGTAAAATGAACAATAAATTAATCTTAATAACTACATAAAAATCACATTTACGACTTTTTACATCAACTGTCGTTCCGTCTTCTTCTTTACCTTTCGCTCATGTTAGTCTCGTTCTTCTCGTGCTGTCGGTCTTCCTCCTTACATAGTGACTTTTTTTTACAACCGTTTTAATTAGCTAGGCCTCTTAATTAAATTCTCAAGTGCTTCACTTAATTTCCAACTACTAATTCTTATCTCGCCTTCACGTCTGTAACAATATTTACTTGTAAAGCACCCATCGATTATATATCACTTATTTGTCTATCGATTTTCTACAAAAAATTTAGTAACGATTAGAACGATATCCTCACATAAAAGATTAACATTTTGTATGGTTTCCATTGTAAACTACAAAGAAAGTTAAAACACGGAATAATCCCTTTAAAATATTTACAAGCAGTTCAAAATCTTTGCTCAATGAAGTGAAGGCAGAATATATAAGGAGGTTCGACGACGTTAATAATTAAAAAGTGAATTGAAAATCAGAGAAAAGAGAGAAAATTCCGATTGTTAGATTTTTGATCAAAATGTTTACATCAGACTCCGACGCTAGCTTATGTACAATATGCTTGTCGGTCATGAATCCAGAAAATAGATCTGTACTCTTGACGTGCCTTCATGAGTTTTGCTTCCCATGCATTGGAAAATGGGCAGAAAAGAATGCAGTTTGTCCGCTTTGTAGGCAAAACTCTAATGAGGTTCTTAACAACATCAGGTCGGATGATGACTACGATATTTACCAGATAACAAGACCCATCAGCAACAATGCGCAAGGAAATGCTTCTACACAATTTTCAATTCCAATTGTGGTGCCGACGTATCTAGCAACACGGCTGATTCTTCCAGCATCGTCTATGACCAGTTTTCGCAACAACCCGCAAACAAATGCATCCACTGTTATTCCTCATCCTAAAGATTCTACACAGCAGACCTTTCCAACAGTGCCGATGACCCTTCCAGCACCTTCTATGCCGAGGATCCCATTTGCATCTCCATTGGCGATTACTAGAAGAACTCATTCAAATTTATATGATGATGGCAAAAGAAACAATGAAAAAGTGGAAACTGAACTTTTCAACAGGACATAAACACTGTGAACATGGAAAAATTGATCATATTAATTTTTTCCAATAATATAGTTTGACCAATTTATTCAATTACCTTAGTATTCATTTGTTATTTTAGGCTGTTTGTTTTATTTATCTAACGTTGAAGTTTCTTGTAAATTTAATTAATTAATTTCTTCAATTTAAATTAATTAATTGACTGATTTAATTTAATTAATTTACGCAAACATTGATTAATCTTTTTATTTATAATTTTTTATTTCATTTTTTTAAATTAGTTTATATTGAGGATTGGCTTAATTGAAGTTACAAATAAATGTATGTGAACGCAAGTTTTATAAATAAACTGAAAGCTAAAAGCGTATGTTTTGTATAATTACAACATAGTGTTACAGGCGTATGGCGAGATAAGGATTAGTAGTTAGAAATTAAGTGAAGCGCTTGAGAATTTAATTAAAAGGTGGAGCTAATTAAAATAGTTGTAAAAAATAGAATGTCACTATATAAGAGGGAAGACAGACACAAAAAAACACGAGAAAGAACACGAGGAGTACAGCTAAAGAAGAAGACGGATCGACAGTTGACTTAAAAGTGATTTATGTTATTTTATGTAGTTATTAGGATTAATTAAATGTTTCTATTACTGCTGGTATTAAATAAGCGTTCGATTTATTCCGCGTTTAAAGTAGTTGTGTTCATCTATAGGAGATCTTGAACATACGGATAAACGAAATCTTGACTATATCTTGGAAGCTACAACACGGTGTTGGAGATATAGCGAGTACGGAAGCAATAACATAAGTGTTGGTGGTTACGAGGTCGAAGAGGTTACGACATTGGTGTTAGAAGTGGAATCTTCAGAAGATTACACACTGGTGACAGAGGTAAGATTTCGATTACAGGAAGCACACTGCAGCAAAGAATACCAGAACTAGAGAACTCAATGTAATTATTCGGGCAAGAAAAACTGAACTACTGACGAATAGTTGTATTCCGTGATTCACTTGTCGATCAGTTATTGTGCTGTATTCTGAAGATTTTTACGATCGAATGAACGAGTAATCGATTATGGCAATACACACAAATGATTACCAGCATGTTTTCTTTCTAATAAAGAAATCGGAAATAAGTCTGTTTAGGAATCAAGAATCCACGTAAAGAGAAATAACCATACCCTACAAATTCAAGGGGTTGGATTTAACAATAGAAAAAAATTAAATTTTAAACTTTAACAACATTAATAACCAGCTTGTAAACTACAAAGAAAGTTAAAACACGGAATAATCGCTTTAAAATATTTACAAGCAGCTCAAAGTCTTTGCTCAAGTGAAGGCAGAATATATAAGGAGGTTCGACGACGTTAATAATTAAAAAGTGAAGTGAAAATCAGAGAAAAGTGAGAAAATTCCGATTGTTAGATTTTTGATCAAAATGTTTACATTAGACTCCGATGCTAGCTTATGTACAATATGCTTGTCCGTCATGAAACCAGAAAATAGATCTGTACTCTTGACGTGCCTTCATGAGTTTTGCTTCCCATGCATTGGAAAATGGGCAGAAAAGAATGCAGTTTGTCCGCTTTGTAGGCAAAACTTTAATGAGGTTCTTAACAACATCAGGTCGGATGATGACTACGATATTTACCAGATAACAAGACCCATCAGCAACAATGCGCAAGGAAATGCTTCTACACAATTTTCAATTCCAATTGTGGTGCCGACGTATCTAGCAACACGGTTGATTCTTCCAACATCGTCTATGACTGGTTTTCGCAACAACCCGCAAACAAATGCATCGACTTTTTTTCCTCATTATAGGATGTTTAATCCAACTTCAGTGACATCATCTACACAGTTGACCTTTTCAAATCCAATTCTGCCGACAAATCTAGCAACACGGCAGATTCTTCCAGCATCGTCTATGACCAGTTTTCTCAACAACCCGCAAACAAATGCATCGACTCTTTTTCCTCATTATGGAATGTTAAATCCAACTTCAGTGACATCATCTACACAGTTGACCTTTTCAAATCCAATTGTTCCGACAAATTTAGCAACACGGCAGATTCTTCCAGCATCGTCTATGACTAGTTTTCTCAACAACCCGCAAACAAATGCATCGACATTTTTTCCTCATTATAGAATGTTAAATCCAACTTCAGTGACATCATCTACACAGTTGACCTTTTCAAATCCAATTCTGCCGACAAATCTAGCAACACGGCAGATTTTTCCAGCATCGTCTATGACTAGTTTTCGCAACAACCCGCAAACAAATGCATCGACTTTTATTTCCCATCATAGAATGTTAAATCCAACTTCAGTTCCATTGACACCATCTACACAGTTGACCTTTTCAAATCCAATTGTTCCGATGACCAGTTTTCGCAACAACCTGCCAATTAATGTATCGACTTCTATTTCTCATCATAGAATATTAAATCCAACTTCAGATTCATTGATACCATCTACACAGTTGACCTTTCCAAATCCAATTGTGCCAACGAATCTTGCAACACGACTGATTCTTCCAGCATCGTCTATGACTAGTAATCGCAACAACCCGCAAACAGATGTATCCACTGTTACTCCTCATCCTAGAGAGATAAATCTATTAGCAGATTCATTAACAAATTCAACACAGTAGACCTTTCCAATTCCAACAGTGCCGATGACCCTTCCAGCACCGTTCCCATTTGCATCTCCACCGTTGTGATTAATAAAAAAATCTTATTCAAATTCATATGATGATAAAAATAAAAACAAGAAAAAGTGGAAACTGAACCATTCAACTGGACACAAAAATAAGGAACATGGAAAAATTGATCAGATTAATTTTTTTCCAATATTATAGTTCGACCAATTTATAAAAATACCTTCTTGATTCATTTGTTATTTCACGCTGTTTGATTTAACGTTGACATTTTTTGTAAATATACTTTATTAATTACTTCAATTTTAATTAATTATTTGACTGATTTAATTTAATTAATTCACGCAAACATTAACACAAGGCTATACAAATTTTATTATTTAAAATTAATTTATATTGAGGTTTAGCTTAATGAAGTTACAAATAAATGAATGTGAGCACAAGTTTTATAAATAAACTGAAAGCAAAAGTTCATGTTTTGTATAATTACAACATAGAAAATAATTAAAATTTAACTTTAACATCATTAATAACTAGTTTCAAAACCATAAAATAATTCTGATTCATTTGTTATTTCATGCTGTTTGTTTTATTTACCCTAGCTTATAATGCTGCATTAAAACATCGCTTCAACATTTGTTGAATTTAACAAAGCAATAAGTGATTTTAAATTTCTTTATATTTATTTGAATTTTGGAAACCCAACGATTTTTTTTCACTAAAAACTTGAAAGTTGGTGGTGTAATTTATTTATTCTTTTTTGATTGCAATGTTAGTCAATGACGTTGGTATCATTTCATGTCTAAGAAGAATTATTTTCTAGAAAATCTTATAAAGGTTTATATTATATTATTAGAACCGACTATTTTGACCAACACAGTGTGAGATCTAAAGACAAGTAAAAACAACAACATAACCTCACGCGCGAACACAGTCAGATTTAAAGGTTCATTCGCATTGGCCTTTCATATTAATTACCTCAATTTGGGAAAAATATATTAGATTCTTACTATTCTCATTATCATTTTCTTATTGTTCATTAAACAGCTTAATATAAAATAGTTAAGTTACTCAAAAAATTTGCCCAATGTTCTCCTAGGATAACTAATTGTGACAGCAGGCGTTATCAAAAATAATGAAACCTATAAAACAAATCAATTGTTTTTTCTTTTCATTATCATCATCAGAAATAGAATAAAAAGTGCGGCAACAGTACATTATCATTAGCACCATCATCATTGCCATTGTTAAAAAAAAAGTAAAAGTACTGATAAAAATGAATAGGACGATAAACATTGGAGGAAGTTCAGTGAAGCGTGACTGAACACTCCAGTGAACGAGTGAACGAACAAACAAACGACGATAATACAAATGAATGGATGAATGAACGAATGAATAAATAAAGGGATGGATGGAGGAATGGATTGAATTTGAAATAAAAGTTGCACGTGTTAAGATTTTTGAATGTCGTAACACTTGAATAGGAAAAATATATAATGTAATGGATGAATTAAATATAAAAAAATAATACTTTTTAAAATTTATTAGATAAATTTGAAACAAATCGTAAATATATCGTTTTCATATGTATTTTATATTGTAGTCTTACAAAGCATGTAAAATATTGAATATTTCATCCAGGCCGATAACTAAATCTAGACATCTAGCCAATATTTTCTGAAATATTTTACATAATTAACAAACCAGAATAACATACGCATAAAAATTATTCATTGCTAAGGTTAATTTTGTGTTTACACCATTTTATAAAAACTTTGGCATAAGCTTGTTTAACTATTTTCTCTGTGATACTAAAGTTGGAAGCAATTAGTGGCACGAAGTTACCTGAATAAACTTTTCAATTTCCAGACCTAATAAAATCTCCACCACTGATAACTTCAATCGTAATATTGATTTTAATCATTAATAACTTCCCAGGCAATAAAGTTTATTTCCATTTTTATAACTACTGTCTGTCCGTTAAATGATGTTCCACGACTTACCTGTCTGCGTTTTTCCTCCAGTTTAATTGGTCCCACCCCCCGTGATCTCGATGAGGTTGTAGGATGTAACAAAACGCTTGTGATATGGAGGGTAGCATAAATCGTTTAGAATTTATTTTTAAATCAAATTTTTGATTTCAATTTAATGTATTTTTATTACAAATTAAGACAAAATTAGATTCCAATTCTTAAAAAACTTCGATAATTTTTGAATAAAATTATAAAAGATTAATAAAAATACAATTGAATATATATATATATATATCTATGTTATTTAAATATATATTAGTTAAATGGCATAATCATTTAAAGGATTTAATAAAAGATCTAGCATTGATGAAGGAGTTGGATGACGTTAACAAAAATAGCATCCAGACATCATGAAGTGCTCGCTGGAGACATTCCACGCATGCCGCCACACGCTAATTAGCCAGATGAACGTAACATTATCATTCCCATAACAATAAAAAGTAGTATAATATAGTATAATTAGTCATTCGATTAGCTAATTAATTAATAGGTAGATAATTAAAAACTTACACACAAAAAATATAAAAATGTACAGACAACAAATTAACAATAGTAAATTATTCAAAATCTATTTACAAATTTAAACAAAAGATTACTCAAAAATTAAACTTTCTTATTCCATAACCCAATAGCAATCGCACACCTATCTTTAAATCGTAAAATGATATTCAGGGATTTCTTTGAATTGGAAGACAATCACTGCAAGCCGTTAATAAACCGCAGGCCATTTTGAAATTTTTTGTAAACGGGTCGAACAGCAATTGGAACAAAATTTTATTGGAGTCGCAAATGAAATATTTTTCAAAATTTACATACAACACCGAAAGTAAAATGAAAATATAAACCTTGAAATTGTTTTTAGATTTACAATTTTTACATCGAAACTTCAGCTACAAAAACTTAGACACAAACATGCCTGCCAAAATGGAATTCCGTGCACGTAGAGCACTTGCTCTGGCATTATGAAACAAAAGAATGTGTGTAGGATGAGAAGGAGGAAATGTGGTTGCTTGCATTGAAGTGCCTGTTTCATGCATCTGATGTACTTCCTGTCACACCCAAACACGCACACACACGCACAAACGCGCGCGCACACACACGCATATATGCTGCGCTACACATTGCAATAAAAATGTCCTTGGTTGCAACTGCATGAAAAACATTTTTTGAAATATTATACATCATGTATGCATTTATTAAATTAGAAAAATCAATTAATGAACACAAAAATCAAATAAAATCATCTAGCAGCATTCTTTCAAAAATGTCTCGAGACAGAGATATTGCTATTTATATTTGTTCTTCGTTGCCCAACATGTTTGCTCTTGAGAGAATTTTAACGTGAATGTACAAGTATTATTCAAAGCAAATTAAAATTTATTGTATCTAAATGTTAAGGTACAAAAACATTTACATGGGAAACGCTCTAACTTAAATCTACGATTCAAAAACTGTATTGGTGTTACAAAAAAGTAAGACGTTATATAACATTAGCTCCATATCATATCACGTCAAATTACATACATTACATAACATTAACTTCACAGCATACGTTACGATTACATTATTACATCGCATCACAACATGTCACAAAGCACGCACACATACACACACTCAGACAGACACACACATACACACACACATAAATACACGTACACTCACACACACTAAACAATTGCACTCAACTATTTATTTTTATAGCACAGATATGAGTGCATCCAGCAGCTCAAATAAAAAAGAGGTCAAATAAATTATCATGTGCATTGTGCAATATGCTTCATGTGAGAATTTAATGAAGATGTTTTTGAAAATCAAAATCCTGACACAATTTTTTCTTTTATTATTAGTAAAAATTAATTAGTTTATGAGATCATTTTTATTATACTAATGCCTGTGTTATTGCATGGTTTTCATTGTTTACTGTTATTACAAACTCGTTCAGAGATTTTGTTTTTGCTAGGTAACGTAAGTTTTGTAAGTGTGTTTTCAACATTTTTACGTTCAAAAATTTTTTTCTCGTTCTGGATCACGCAATAATCAGTGTTGTTAATTCCATGTGGATGATGAATGCGTGGAGTTCAACTGGTAGCATCATTCATCCCCTGATAACTCGTTGTTACCTCTCACTCCAACACCACAACAGCAGAGGGATGTGAACAACGAGTGATGAGATGTACAATAATTTAATAAAAAGTACAGAAATGACGAAAAAATTTGAAATTAAAATAGTAAAAAATTGAAAAAAATTAACCATGTAGCCTATATAAATTTCAATCCGACGCAATTTTAGCAATAAGTTTTATTGCTATAATTATTTATATTATTATTATTTTTAAAATTATTAATTATTAATATCACAATCATAACCATCGGTTTAGTTGGCATCATTACCATCATCATCATCCTCTTCTATCATCATTACCATTTATAATGCCATTATATTAATATCAGTTGATGATGATAAAACATCATTATCACACCTGCTTTTCAGCGTTATAAGGGACAAGCCTTCCTTTGTTCAATTAATTATTTTTATTTTTATTGCTTTTTTAAAGTATCTAAGTATTAATATATATATATGTGTGTGTGTGTGTGTGTGTGTGTGTGTGTGTGTGTGTGTGTGTATGTGTGTGTGTTTGAATTTGTACCCTATGCAGTAAGTAGTAGTAATAGTAGTAGTAGGTAATAGTAGTAGTAGGTAAGAGTTGTAGAAATAGTAGCAGTAGTAGTATTAGTAGTAGCAGCAGTAGCAGTAGATGCAGTAGTAGCAGCAGCGGTAGTAGTTGTAGAAGTAGTAATAGTAACAGCTGTAGAAGGAGTAGTAGTAGTAGTAAAAATAGCAATAGTATCAGCAGTAAAAGTACTAATAGTAGCAGTAGGAGTAGTAGTATCATTAACATTGTTACTGGGAGCAATAGTCGTAACATTGGAAATCTGGGAGAGCAATGAAGGTTGAAGATGCATAGCATCAGCCAACAGTAGTAGTAACAATACTACAAATATTTTACATTATTTACAATAGCAAGCCCAAAACTAAGAGGGGGTAAAAGGTACAGGCACCCCGGGCGATTAATTTGCCCCCCACAAAAACCTCATAATTTCAACCCTGCATAATAGTGTTAGTAATTGTCGTTGGTTTTAGCTAATAGCACCAAAATAGTACAAATTAAATTATAAAAAGTAGTGGTCAGTAACAACGTTATCAAGAAACATAGCAATTACCATATAAATTAACATAGAAAATAACATAGCAAGTAACATAATAAATAACATAGCAAGTTACATAGTAATTTACATAGTAAATAGCTTAGCAAGTAACATGTAGTCAGTAACAATGTTAGTAAGAATAGAAGAGGTAACAGTGTTAGTAACAGAAAGAGTAGTATTGAAAGAAATGTGATACCCAAATGGCCAGTAAGTTTGATTGTTCAATTTAAAATTTGACGTCTTCAATTTATGCCCATGGTACGTACTGATGAAATTTTACGATCGCTCCGCTATTGCTTTATTAATCCTACTTACGGTATTGCGTATTCTTTTACGTACGGCAGCTCTTACTTTGAAACCGCAGAACAGTAACATAAACTGCACACTGTACTTGCACTACTACCTACTTCTAATACTACTTTACTACTAATTAATTTAAAATGCAAGGTGTCAAATTATTTTTGTTAGTTATCTAACTACAATTAATTAATTACTTTACAATTAATTGATTAAGAATAAAACGCGCCAAATTAATATTTTATATTAATACAATTATTAATAATTTTTAATTATACAACTACAATTAATTAATTAATAGGATCTATAAACCACTTACATTGATTTGTAGTTTTTTTTTTAACTCCAAACAAAGCTTATAAAGTTTACAAATTTAAAAATGAATTAAATAAAAATAATAAAATGAAAAAAAAGAAAGCCAACAACAGCAATGCTCCACGTTTCAGACATCGTCGGTTAAATTTTTTCACTTCATTATCGTTACCTAGCCAAAACTCGTCTCAGGAATATTACATGTAAACAGCATGAACATTAAATTACGATGTACGAATGTGAATCAACTTAATGAATATGTAGGAGTTTGCTTGTTTGCTTTGTCTTCTTTTCTGCAATATTTCCAAAAACCGAACAACTTGTGTTGATTAGCGGATCATTATGGCATTTTTTTGTAAAATTTACATTTATGACATTTATATTATAATTATGTTAGTCAGTATGTAACATTACCATACCGACAACTGTATCGCAATATTAACAACGTTATCACATTCCATTGTTGTTGCTGCTACTGCAGTCTATACCTACTTATTTTTCCACAAAACAACCGACGGTAAGTGCTGATGTAACTGGCGAATGCTGGTTTTTGGAGTTTTTGTGGGATATTTTTGGTGAAGATTTTATTATTTATTCAAGTAGCATCTACATAAATTGTCATTTATTTACTATTTCAACGTTTTTCGTCGGGTAGTTAGTAAACTCTGCCTCACTGCAAAGTGACGTAAAAACTTTCAACACATGCAGTCAGCAGATTGTTGTAACTTTTCAACAGTAAAAAATGAAGTAAAAACGTTAGAGTGAGTTTATCACATTGTAAGTTTAGGCCGTTTCTGAAACAGGACTGAAAAAAATTATTTTGACACGAATCAAGTTTGTAAAGTAACGACATTTCTGAACACTTTTTAAGTAGTAATAACAAAATCAGTAACAACAACTGAAACTTCAACAACAACAACGACGAAAACAACAACAGTAGCAATAACAACAGTCATACCATAAAAAATGAACGACTCTTTTAGTAAAGTGTTCGTGTTGTAGCTGTATGAAGCTGTTACATCAGCGCAATGTTCATTCATCCGCTGACACCACAGAACACAATGGAATGGCACTATCCCATTTCTTCTTTTCTTTTCAATTCCACTTCTCTTCTAGCATTTTCAATTTTTTCTCTTATCATTCTTTCTCCAACTTCTCCATTTCTTCAGTTTTTGTCAATTTTTTTCCCCTCCCATTCTTCCTTCTTCTCTCTTCCACTCATCCTTCTCCTCCTCTCTTTCTTCCTCTTCTTTATTGCTTTCTAGCCATTGATTCTTAATCACCGCGCAATGCAGCCATGATTGGTGGGCATTTTGAGAATGAGGACGGTCAAGATGATGATGATGGTGGTGGTAGTAGTGGTGGCGGTCACGATGATGATGATGGTGGTGGTAGTAGTGGTGGCGGTCATGATGATGATGATGATAGTGGTGGTAGATGATGGTGGTTTTTTTAAACAAAACATTTCAGCTAGTACAAACCACAATTAAAAACGCTGGAATCAAATCGATGAAAAATTTCAGGTGCATTGGAGTGTTGGTGATGCATTTTGGTACTTGCATCGGCTGGATTTTCCGTTGTTGTTCTGCTTGTTGCGTACAACATTCAGTGACAAGCGAACGTGTTTGATGGTGTTCAATTTTAAAAGTTGTGAATGAAATCAGTGGAAGCGATCGCACGAGTGCACCAGCCAGCAGGAGTAATTAAAGAGACTGATCTTGTGTTGCTTTTTGTTGTGATTTCAATGAGTAATTCTACTTTATTAAACTTTCCGATCATTAATGCACTACGTTTTTAAATTGTATCAAATGCTTAGGTCTAATCGAATCTGTCAGACTATCATGTCACACAATGCATTCATATGAACTTAATTCATAGCCAAGTATAGCCAACCGCCACAAAACACAAACAGCCACATAAGCACTAATAACCTTATAAACGCCAGCATCCACGACACAATTGTTTGCATAAATCAAGAAAATCAAGAAGCAGAACTAACTAGAGCAGCTCTACATGCACAACCTCATTGTTAACAAGCGCATCAAATCCTCGAATTATACATGTAAATGATAACATTCATTATTGACGACATTGGTTCACTTAAATAAAGCTAAGAACGCCATATCTTGTACACACAACACACATACACACATAACACACATATGCACACAACACATACACAACACACATACACAATATATAACGTAGGTGGTCTTACATGTATTTATATATAACTGTATTTCTATTTAAATATAACTGAACAAATAAATAAAAACGTATTTGTTTGTTTGTAGGTAGCCTACAGAAATATTGACTAAGGAGCAGCGCAAAAATACTTTTGAAACTCGATAGAATTTGTAATTTATAAAAATCTGTCGGCGCTTAACTTTTGTGTTTGTCGTCACTTGCGCTGTGAACCGATTAGAGGATTGTTTCACAAATAGTTCCACGTTTTAATTGAAGCAAGCCATAATTTGATCCATTGTAAGCAGATAAGAAAAAGAATTTTTAAAATCTCACTTACTCTTTCCATTTGTTTCCATTTTATTCACATCAATTTTTTTAAATAAGAAAAAGGTATATAAATTCACAACGTACTCATCTGCCGGCTAAGCCTTTCAGTTTTATGGTCACTTTATTCTTCAGTTACATTTAAACTTTGAATTAAAATTTTTTTTCAATTCAAAGTGAAAAGGTATACAGAGAAAAATTTCAAATTTACAAAAGTTTTCATACAAATTCGTTGTAAACATCGGTGCACTCGTCTTTCCACATGTCTGTGGAAAATATTTTTATTGTCTCTACGCCACATTATTGTCTGTAAATGTTTATAGAAAGATAGATACTTGGTGTATTTTGAGTTTGGCAAGGTCAAAGACCAATAAAAATTTTGTTTAATCGCTCTTTTAATAGTTATTTTATTATTATTCTTAAAAAAATATTACTATTCTCAAGTCATTTATTCTTGAACCAGTTAAGATTTATAAAAAAACTTTTAAACATAATAAAAATAAATTTACTTATCAGTATGACGTGCCAATGGGATGCTTACACGCACGCATGTTAGCATTTCCAAGTGTCCGTACGGACGAACATACTACAACTGCAAGCCGGATGCCCACTGGCGGAAAAAATCAGTGAAGTGAAGGAATGAGTGGGCCGTGATTAAAATTTGTATTGATTTCTGAATGAATGTATTCATCAAGCTTCTCTATTCAGACTTGAACGCGATGGAAACCCGTGGAAAATATGATGACACGTTTGTCGTGATCATGATACGGGGTTGGGTTAATTTGTGATGGTGCCAAAGTAGGCTATGACGTGTGAGATGATGGTCTGTATGGTAGAAGTTGCTAAATTTTCAACAAGGTACCCTGGTGGCCACTGATAAAAACTTCAATTGTTTCAATTTTTATGACTGTAGATTACTAAAATTACAATCCTGATAACTTTCCTTGCAGTATTGTAGATAAACTAATTGCGATAAAAATGTTTTTCATAAGTCAGGTGGTCTGTTGTCTATTTCATGGCACAAAATAACGTTTTATTTTCATAATCTTAAAATATTGTTTTTACAGTATAAATTTTTAATATTCAATAACAAATTTGAAATATTTTAATAATTTGTAAACTAATAAAACTACAAATTCACACTATTTAGAAAAGATTTGAATTTAAATTCAAATAAAAATTTTCACTACATCAACTTGAAATAAAAAAAAACCTTTTATTAATAGTTAGTCTGATATGTTGAAATATTTATCAGGCATAAAACTAACTATTTGCTGAGGTGAAAAGTTGCTAAAAGCATTTCGCCGCACAATCTGCTCATTGTTGCCGTAAAAAATTTTGCCGGTAAAGTTCTTCTGAGATTTTGTTTTACGACTCTGAGACTTTTACAGTTTGCCGTTTAAATATTAAATATTTTTTGCGAAAAATTATTGAAAAATGTATGAAAAGTAGACCAATACTTTTTGTTGTTACTGCTAAAGTCAAATTTTTATTAGTTGACTTAGTTAATTTTTATTAGTTTTATTAGTTAATAAATAAAACAAACTGTCAGGTCGATCGAACTAATATTGAGAAACATTGGACATTGTCGACACTCTACTGCAGCTAACATGCCGATGGTCGTTGGTTAGTTTGTTTGTTTGCTTAAGTTCTGTTCTGTCTGTTTGTTTAGTTGTTTATTCATTTGTTTGTTTGAACATTGTTTCTTGAGTTAGAGTCGTTAGAGGATTGAGTATACAAATGATGACAAAGATGATCGTGACAACATCATTTATAATACCGGTTAAGTACTATGTGCGTTAACGATGATGGTGGTGATCAACCGATAGTAATACAAATTAAAAATAGTTGATGAAAGAAATTTTAAAAGTGTTGACATTCTGACGATGATGATGATGGTATTGTTGAGGACAGTGAACAATGATAACAATATGATGACAATATTAACAATGATAACCAAAATAAATAATAATATTATGCTGGTGATTTTAAAATATTTACTATGATAAATGCAAAACCTTAAAAATGGAGAAAAAACGATAAGATACGTAAAAGAACTGGCTGCTATGGAAAAACTAATTTCCTATTCTCTGTACAATAAAACTGATAAGGTGTCCAAATAACGTAGAAAAGCATTCGACAATGACAACCGAAGTAATAATCATCACAAGAATTAATGAAACGGTGATACAAAAATGTTATTTTTATTTTATTCATATATTTATTCAATCATTCATTTTTGTTAATTTATTTATTTATCAGTCATAAAAACAAATTTATCATCTTGTCAATCACAAAAACATCATTTGTTTTTGTGAACAAATATATTAAAAAAACATTTTTAGCTAGCCAGACCGAACTAAATTAATAGTTGACAAGTCGACCGGAGAAAAGATTGATGACATCCAAAAAACAACAAAACAATTTCCACCAAAAAACAATAACCAACAAATAATAATAAAAAAATAAAAACACAAACCAACAAATAAACAAGCAACAGAGCAAATAACAAACAGCAGATAACAAAACTCCATTCATCAATCACAGAAACAAATTAATATGATCACTGTCCTGTCGGCTCAGTCGTTACAAACGAACTGCAAGTCAGTCATCTATTGTTCGCGTCAACGTTTGAAGAATTGTTAGAATGAATAAGAGCATTTTTGTGTGAAGTTGTGTGCTTATTTGTGTGCTTGTTTCAGGTAGATCAATAATCACTAACATGAAATCTTCCTATATAAACAAAACGAATCACACGAACCTGCATAATATCTGAAATCTGTCTGGTGTAACTTTTGTATATGACAGAGTCAGTTGGTCTCTCAACAATCTTGATGTTTTCCAAGTTCTTCGGTGCGTGTTTAAATCTAGAAGGATTTTTATGTTGTGGTTCAATTTTCTAATTAAAATAAATTCAAACCAGTGAATTTTTAAAATTGGCTTCGGTTTCTTTAAAAAGAAAAACTTTTATTGGTTAACATTTTGATACATAACTTTTATAACTAAAATCAGTAATTTTCATACAATCAACCAACCAATCAACCAGCTAACCAACTATCTAGCCAACCAACTATCTAGCCAGCTAGCCAACCAACTATCTAGCCAGCCAGCCAACTAACCAACCAACCAATCAACCATCCAACTATCTAGCCAACCGATCAGCCAATCATTTAACCTGGGCTCTCTAGGTTGCAGTATCCTAATGTGTCTCCACTTGTGCAGGAAGGTAACCATGGCAACCAGCCAGACCGCCATGATGAGAAATATGATGCAACCCTCCCCAACACTCAGCACGTTGTTGCTGGTGGTGATAATGTTGTTGGTGTTCGTGTTGTTGTTGCCGGATGAAATGTTGCTCGTTGCAGATGAGCTTGCGGGAAATGATTCTGTTTAGCAAAAATTAGGTATGCATTCGTTAGGCAGTTATTTCATTTCAAAATAGGCGTTATTCATCACAGTGTGGAAGGTTAACTTACTTATGAACGTTTTATATGATTGAACATCTTTTAATAATAATGTTGGTAGTGTTAGGTTTGTCGGCTAAAAAGTTGCGAAAAATATAATTTTTCGTTTGTATTGGTGCTGCGTTTTTGTGGTTGGCTGTTCCCTTTCATGTTGTTCTGTTGATAAAACCAATAAATATTATTGGGATGTTTTTCTGCCTTCTGCTCAGGAGATTGTTTGCTGATATAAAAAAATTTACACGGCCAATCTATTAGATCATTATTGGATGGTCGTTGTATGTTTTGCAGGGTCAAGAGATTCTTTATGCAGTTTATTAGGCCCTGATGATAAATAATTAAATATATTATTGTTGTTTTTGTTGTTTAAATGTTCACATATAGTCCACATAGTCCAATGGAGTTTATAGTCCAGAGATAATTTGCAGATTGATAGAGAGATAGCGCGAATGAAAGAGAGCTCGCGCAAAATGATTGCTAGTCGACGATCGGCTTTTAAAAGCATATTGAATGGGAGTTCAATAAACTGGCATAATTCATCAGGACCTATCATCATGCAGCGGCCTTGTTTAACGTTAATATAATGCTTAGTATGTATATATGGAAAATATAACAAAAGTTGATTGCACGATTTTATTTATAAAAGTTCTTTCAAAATTATCCGCTCTAAATAAAAGTAAAGTAATTAAATATTCAAAATGGAGGAATGGAGGCCCGCTACGATGGCCAGATAAGTTAAATATCGGTTTGAGATCATTTCTCAAGAACATAACTTGTGACCATTTTCTGAAAAAAGAAAACAAATAATGACGTAACATTTGAACGTACGATGCCAAAGACGTACATTTAATGGATGGATGAGGAGTAGCAGTTGTTGTGTGCGTCGTTGTTTTCATATTTGTGTGCTCATAATTTGCGTTCAGAATCAGGTATATAAACAAAAGAAACATGTTTGTCATTTTAAACTGTTTATGTAGAATTATAATCTCAGTTCGTAATGTTTAACTTTTAAAAGAATGTCAAATTTCAAATTTTAAAATTAGCCAAAACTAAAAAATAGTAGACGATCGTGTGCATGTTAACTGAAAACTTTTTAACATCAAACTCTTTTTTTTAAATTTATTTTTTAAAAATTGTTGTTGACAAATTTGATTTCATGGCGTGATTATATAGTCGACCTTTTAATATATTGTGATTTGAAATGTTTTTCACTGACGCAAATTTTGTTTACTTTTAGGCACCTGGAATAAGATTAAAAAAATTTTAATAAGATAAAATTACTTCGCAATTTGCTACAAAAAATTTTGTCACGATAATTCTATGAATTTAATTGAAACTTTTTATTTGTAATTATGCCGCTAGCCAATTTCCTTTTCCTTATGTATTCCCACTTAACTCTATAGATTATATTTTTTATAGTTTATTTTATTTTTGTTTTTATAACAAGTTCATCCAAAATTTCACAACATTATTTTATAAAAAATGAATAAAAAAATACACAGACTTTCATAATTTGGTCCCAATTCATCATACGTATACTGCATGTTCATGTTCATTTGATGCTCGTTTGTGTAATTATTGTTGTTGTGGTCGATGAAGTCGTAGTTGTTAATGTCGTAGTTGGTGTCATCGTTGTTGCTGCTGATGTTGTCATTGTTGTTGTCATTGTTGTTGTAGTATCCTTCGTGCTGATAATAAATGTCATCATTCACATCGTTAATGTTGCTAGTGTTTCTATGTTGAGACATTTCAATAGTTTCACGTTCTGCCGGCTTGACCTCTTAGAAATTGACCATCGGCTGTCTGCAACTAACAAATCTTCATAAAATTCATTTTCAGTCGCCCTGTTTTTAATTTTGTAGTCAGCTACATGATCGAGACATAAACCAAAAAAAAGTATGACAAATGAACAAGAAACTTGACAATTAAATATCAATTATTTAATGAATAATGCATAATTAGGGTGGGCAAACTACTACATGCGGCGCGAGAAGCTACTTTATGCAGCCAGAGAGGCCTTGTTCGCCGAAATAAAGGTCGTCAACCAGACATTATGACCAAAGAAAAGGATTCACAAATCTTAAAAAACTTCTCCCCCGGGTCGAAAAAATTTGCTCTTTAAGTACAATGCGGCCCTCACAGCAAAAAGTTTGCCCACCCCTGGTATGGTATAAGTCTTTGTATGGTAATACCGCTTTCTTTTCTTTTGGAATATTTTAAATTAATTTTAATATTGTTTTTTTGCTGGTATATTTATTTATTATTTTTTGTACTATTGAGGTGACGTACATTCCGATACATTGCTGACGTTATTGCTTTCATATAACTGATGCATGTTTGCGTCGCAGTATAGATCCCATTAATGTGATTGCCAGAGCTGATGATGGTCTTATGTATGTTTTGTGGTATTGTATGCAAGATGATTGTATTGTATATGTTGTTGGTATTGTATATGTTGTTGGTATTGTATATGTTGTTGGTATTGTGTATGTTGTTGGTATTGTATATGTTTTTAGTATTGAATATTTTCTTTGTATTGTATAGGTAGTCGGTTTTGTATATATATATATATATATATATATATATATATATATATATATGTTGCTTGTATTTCTGAAGATGATGTCGTTGTCAATTTTTATGATTGCAGTGCAAATGTTATGGAGGCTGTCTTTGCCTGTGTAGACGCTGAATTGTTTAGTAAATGAGAATGATGAAGATGAGCATGTAATGAAAAAGATGAGGACGACGACGACGATGATGGGGATGATGATATTTAGAATGTTGACGGTGATATTAATAACAAATGGCTTCTATCGCTGAAACTACGGCAGACGTGATACAGTAATCATTTCCTCTGCTACATTCTATCCATCAAAATTTTTTCTCGACGAACCAAAATAGAACTGAGACGTGTATTTTCGTGTGCTAGTGTTGCTCTGCATTAGAGATGTTTTTTATCTTGTAATGGATGTCCAAATGTTGCGTGTTAACAAAAATACTTATTTTTTTTTGTTATTTCTACCTGTTAAACTAAATTTTGACTTTCAATTAGCTAGCTATAAAGTTTGAATATGAATTAATACACCATTCACTTTTACTTGTTAATAAATGTATTGATACAATTGTTATCACAGAAAAATATGAATTAATTCACCCCCTCATCACTTATATTCTAGCAAATGTATTGATATATTGATAAAAATTGTTATCCCAAAAGGACAAATAAACGTTGATGCTTACACCGTCTGATATTTTTAATGCATTTACTTTCTATTTAATTGGAATTACTTTCAGTTTCATGGTTTGAAACTTTCATTTTCCAAATATTTTTCCATCAAAAAAATAATTTAAATAAAAAGCGCTAATAAGTTTCATTTTAAAAATTATCAAATAAAATATAGTTTAATAAAATAAATATAAAATACGAAAAATATCTAGAAAAATAAATTACCAAAATTAATTTCAAATTTGATCTTTTTATTTCTACAAATTGACTTTTCAAAAAACAATTTAACTTCTGAACATCATCATCATCAGATGCTGCTGATGATGATAGTGATGATGATGATGACGACTGCTTGGTTCATTTAAATTATACAAAAAGGGATGATGATGTAGACGATGACAATGATGATGAAAATGATGATGACGATAAATGCTGTTACTACTATTATTCCCACTATTATTACAACTATTATTCACCGAGTACTATTTTTACCACTAGTTCAATTCCGGCTGAGAAATTTATAATCTAAACATTGAGAATGATAATCAGTAATACTTCATTAGAAGGACCGTAATTATTATGATAATTATGATAATTATTATCTACCATGATGATATCATAAAACTCACCAGCCTCATGCAATTGAAACGTTCCGTTACGTCATACAATCAACCAGCCAATCAAATTTGATGTATTTATATAGCGTAAATAAGAACAGCCACCATGGGGTTACCACTTACCACTACTACAGACGTACCATAGGGCTACCAAAGTAAACAACAAATTTATTTTAAATATTTTGAGTTAATTATTAATTTTTTTTATTTTGACATATTATTTTCCAAAATAGAAATAAACTTTATTTTATAAAGATTAATTTTATTTTTGTTGGTTAATAATTTCAATAATATCAATAAATAGTCTTTATTTGTATATTTTTATTAATATTATCTTCTAATCATTTACTCAATATATATTTTTCATTAATGTTAAAACAGCAGTAAATTTGCTAAATTTATTTATTATTAATTTCTTATCCTTGATAATATATAAAACAATTTTTACATTAACCGTGTGAAATATTATAATGACGCCATTTCCATACAAGTATTATTTAGTTTTACAAATTTAACACAATCATCCGTAAATATAAAATAACATCTCTTCTCCTTCTCTCTCTCTCTCTCTCTATATATATATATATATATATATATCCATATAGGGCACATTTTAGTACGTTTATGTACAAAAACACGTGTACAAATAACCATGCATTAGATATGAACAAATTATGGCATAGAAATGTAGGTTGATATTGATTTTGAACGTGATTGAAATTTCTACACGGATTACAAAATCTAATAGCGACAAATTTTCTTAGCCTTGGTTTTTTTACTTATTTTGTTAACGCCATGTTTAATTAAGTTTTAATTTCGTTTAGATTGTTGTGGTTTAGGTTGTTGTTTCTGATTTTACTGTTTTAAAAAATGTTGTTGTCGACTTTTTTAGGAGTCCTTCAGCTAGCGTCATTTAAAATTAATGCGAAATAACCAAAACCTCATTTCAAATTTGTCGTTTGTTCTGTATTTGGGTCTATATATTTATGAGTGCGTAATACCTCGTGAGCAATATCTTTCACAAGATGCAATATCTCTCCTTATAACGAACTTCTTATATCGATGCTAAACGTACAACGTTACATATAACATATTCTATTTACAACATCCAATTTAGCATGCAACATAATTAACAGCGTTCAACAATTCATCTATAACATAGGTCATTGATGTAAATTTTTTTAAAACTATATATAACGAACAAACTCTCTTATAACGTACAATCTTCATTCTAACGCGCAACCTTCCTCTAATAGCGTGCAACATTCATGTATATCGTAATAAAACTCTTATATCCTACAATATACAGTATCAGTTAAATAATAATTGTTTATTACGTGCAAGGTACTATCTTATTTATTATCTCTATCTCGCTCTAGCACTGGTTCAAAAAATAATTGTAAATGTTATGAGGCACAATCTCATTCTCTCATTCTAATTGTCACTCAATCAAACCGTACGGTGATGGTATTGTATGTATGTGTATATAAATATATATATATATATATATATATATATATATATCCATTCATTTCATTCAATGATCCTCTGTAAACCCTTAAGGGACCGTTGAGGCCGATGGTATTCTTCTATCTCTCCAAAATCCTTTTCTTTCCCTCGCTATCTTCATTGAGCCCAATGTTCCAACCCCCATTCATTCCGTGATATCATCCATCCACTTCCTCACAGGTTTTCCAACTTTTTTCTTCCAGTCCCTCTTTCTCATCAGTACTTTTTTGATCAGTCTGTCGTCTGTCATTCTGCAGATGTGCCCAAAGATACCCAGCTTTCTTTCCTTGACACTTTCATACCCAGTCATACACAGTTTATATATATATATATATATATATATATATATATAGAGAGAGAGAGAGAGAGAGAGACAGAGAGAGAGAGAGAGAAAGGGAAAAGGGAGAGAAAGAGTGAGAAAGAGATTATTCTGTTTAATTGGATGGGTCATGTTTTTGTTTAATGAGCATTTGTTGTTAGAGCGCACATCAAAAGCATCTAACGATTTTTTTTCTACTGTGCGTTTCATCAAACTGCATTACGTACCTATTATTTAATGCTGCTACGTTCGCTCACCTCGTCATTGTTTCATTTTACTCTGATTTAAATTTTTAAGATGTTTTTTCTGTTATTATTTTGCTGACACGTTATATACATCGCAAAAATTATTTGTTATGTTCACTTATACCTTCTTGAAAATCACAACCAATGTTAAGATGGAATATTTAAAAAAAAACTAAGAAAGTTATTTGTGCTTATTGCGAGTTTCTAAGAGAGGGTACAAATTTGGAACACAACTCAATGACAAAAGTATGAGAGATAGATTGCATCACTCAACGTCAACATTCAGACAGCCTACTTCGCAATGTTATCTGCATTTATTCACGTGAAGCAGTTAGTTGATTAAATGTGAGGTGGAGCATTGTGGTTGAAGGTTGTATGTGAGTGAGGCATTGAGGCAGAATTGCTTAGACCGACTCAATTGAATTGAAGAATGTTTGGTCTGATTGTTGCTGGATTGCTGCTTGCGATCTATTGAAGAAGGTTTTATTGATGCAACAATGTAGAGGTTTTATTCTGAATGTCTGAAAGCACTGCGCTTAAAGAAAGATGTGGAATTCAAACTCAAATCAAATTAAAAGATAAAAATAAAATGTATACTCCACACGGGTGTTAATAACATTTTTATGAAGAAATAAACAATTTCGAATAAATTATTTCAATGTACTAAAAACAGTTTGAAAACATACACACAGATGCAAAGTTTAAAATTTATAAAATAATATGCGTTGGAATAAACTCTGACAAACACTAATACAGACCATCACTAACAAACAAACACTTAAGAACATGCTACTTAAAGTAAACATACAACATATAAACCTAATAAGCGCAGCGGTGTATTTATATCTATATGCCTATAAAAGATATTAGTCTCGATGAATTATTGGACGGCGTGAAGTTATATTATACCAGGGAGACAAAAAGATGGTTGACCTCTGTACGTTGGATGCCTTCCAGATATGGATTCGCAAATTAAGCTGCATTTTAAAGGTCCGCTCAGTGTTGCTGCTTCAATTTCACATTATTCCAACGCTCTGCTATTAAATCCGTCCCTGAATAAACATACATTCATGAGAGCAAACAGAGCATTTCCATAGAAAACACATGCATGCATTATATCAAAATACATGGAAGCACACTCGAGCTCCTAATGCAAACATATACGAACAACGTATATACAAATATACATGCATATATTCATAAATGAATGTATATGTATGTGATATGTAGTTTATATGTGGGTGTATATTATATACTAATGTACGTACACTTACATACGTACATGTGCGATGCATGAACGCACACAACAAACTACGCAAAACCCACATGTGCACGGTAGATAGTCACTTACAATGTGATATATACAAATATGCCAATCAAATTATTCGCTGATAATTATAAATGTCACTAAGTCTA